CACAGTTGAAGGCAAGGTGGATCCTACGAAACCTTACAAGCTCTGTTAGGTGAGAGGCATCAAGAACATAGTTCGTTCTTCAGACAGTATTATCAAGAAACAAAGGCGAATATAAACACTATTGTTAAATACACACTAGATATTCCCACTTAATAATTCAGGTGCCGGCCATCAGCACATGACAGGTAAGAGCTATTAAATCGGTATTGACTTAAAATCTGGGGTAGATTATAAATATTTCCTTTAATTGAAGTTGAAGAACAACTGTTCTTCTATGTGAGTCAGTTTCCCGCATACATCATGCTGCTTGTTTCACAGGCAACTCGATACATGTGGCAACAGACTTCGGGAACATGCGTCCGGGTCAAGTAGGACTCACCATGGTTTTGTGGTGAGAGATACTAGCATTACAACTGTACCACCAACACTTTAATTCAGGATGTGATTGATTAGGTTACAACAAAATTAAAATGATTAGGTTACACAATAATTTAACTGATTAAGGTTACAAAAAACAGAATTTATATCTAATGTTTCGCTTACTTGTCAGTTAGTAGGTGGTAGGCAGCTATCAAACAAGGAGGTACTACCATCTGGGAAGATAATGGGAGCATAATGTGTTGTCTAATTGTAGACCCTGCTTATTTAACGATTAACAAATTTATTGGCAAAGATCTGGGTACAGTTTGCCTATTCTGAGTAATTCAGTCAGGTCTTGATACTGAGGGTGCTATCACTGTCACGCAGGACAGTGGTTCATATACAGTAGAAGTCATATTCTATTTGAGGAGTAATCAGTGTGGGCTAGCAAATTTGGGATAGACAGCAAGAATGTCCTCATAGTTCATAGTTCATTATACAATAAGCCGGGTAGCCTGAAGTCTTTGACAGTGTCACATTCAATAAGACCCTGCTGCCATATGGCATCACAAAAATTGTGACCAAATTCCAGGTTGCTGATTTGACTTTCTGCCTCATTTACACACAATAGCAGGGTCTCAAATGTTTCTCTTATTTCGACAACACAACATACATACCTGTATATGGTTTCTCACTATTGATTTTTGTTTTTTCTTTTTTATTGATGGTCCGTTATTTTTATTATTATTATTATTATTATTATTATTATTATTATTATTATTATATTTATTTAATCTTTTTTATATTTTTGGGTTATTTTTTATTAAATTTTATTTATTTATTATTATTATTATTATTATTATTATTATTATTATTATTATTATTATATTTTCGACCCCAGGCCCTGATGTGGGTTATTAATAATAGACCTTGTGCCTTGGTGGGCTAATCCCGTAAGAAAAAAAATCACTAAAGTACTGATACGATGCATTTTATGTACGACAATGATATTATTTGTATTGCTCTCATTATCTTGGTTAACACAATGATGGATACTTTTTTATTAAGACCATCCCCCATGCGCTCCTCTCAGTCCCAGACCTCCATAAAATATCATGGTGTGAAGGTGTGGAACAACTTACCCCCACACATCCCAGTAAAGACTACACGCCCTTCCTTTAAATCATCTCTAAAAAAAATATCTATTGTCGAAGTATTAATATTTTTTGTAACACATACTATATTTACAGTACCTGCTTTTATTGTACCATCAAAACCGATTTATCTGAAATTATCATGTAAATAAATCAGTAATTACCATTGCAATAAACATAATTGCCAACTAGATATAATCCTGAAAGCTGTCCTCTTGTTCAACCGTATTACTGTGCAACCCAGGTTGTACTGCTCCCCCATTATACTTATGTTTTTCAATTCCACTGTAATTTATGTGTGTATATATATATATATATATATATATATATATATATATATATATATATATATATATATATATATATATATATATATATATATATATATATATATATATATATATATATATGTGTGTGTGTGTGTGTGTGTGTGTGTGTGTGTGTAAATAAATAAATAAGTAAAATAAATAAATACAAAATAAAAATAATAAATAATAAAATAAATAAATATTGAAGTGATAACCGTGGTAACATTTTGAGATGTACTTATTACCACCATGCTATTATACTATTCCAGATGATACTAAATGTTACATAATACTTCCTTGAGATAAATGTATAGTATATATCAGGTGCCTCAAAGAGAGCTCAAGTCTCCATGGCTCAGCCATGTTAATATTGTTATTAATCCACTCTGTATCTGTATTTTTCTGGCTAAATAAAATGTTTCAATTCAATTCAATTCAACATTTTGCCTGAATGTACTGTAATTATGTTTGAAGATGAAGGTGGTAACTGTTAGGTCACTCATAAAAAAGTAATGGCAAGTAATGTGCCTCAAGCTACCATTATTTCAAGTTTAATTCCTTATTAATCTTATCTAGAGACGATTCATTGACTGATTTAGTGATTTGTATATAGTACAGTTTGTTTTGTGACGCTGTATTCGCTGAAACCTATAAAGTACATACATACTGTATAGTTGTTGCTACTATAGTATATTTAACAGATTTTAAAATGGCTATATTTTTTTGCTATTCCTTTCTCCAAAAATAAAGATTTTATTATTTTTTTTTTTTTTTGCAATCAGCATAATCTACATTAGAAAAAATATATATTTCCATCTTTGAGTGCGGTACAAGGAACCGAAAAAATCTGTATTCTCTAGACATCGGTACGAGCATAGCCTAATTAATTATATAATTTACGTAGTGGATATTATGTCGTGACCGGCTAAGTTCCTACTTATGCTATTTTACCGCGAGTGCGCTCTGGTTGTCTAAGTACTTTTTATAGGACGAAAGGCGGGGGGGGGAGTTGACCCTCGGCTAGGAAGTTAGATAAGGTTAGGTAGGTTTCTTTGGTTGGAGAGGTCAGGTTCTATTAGGTTCTAGTAAATGTCGCCTCTTTTATACGATAAGTTTCCATGCACAACAGAAATATGGTTAGGTATGTTTACAGCTACACAACGGTCAACTCACAATGAAATAAATGCCAAATGCCGTCAGTCACGGTCACATATAGTTCTCGCGTTGTTCGCCGATTAATTTGGACGATTAGCCAATCAGCGCACTTTCGGTAAAATAGTGTTAGTCGGAACTTAGCCGTTCACGACAAAATATCCACTGCCTATAATTTAATGTTGAAAGTCTACAAAAGGGTCATGACGGCAAACAACCACAATACAATGTGAGAGTTTATATTAGAGGAAGAGAGGTTTTGCTGCCTCCACGTCCATTGATAACCCAATTGATGTGAAAATAAGCACATGAAAATTATGACTGGAAACATGATATTTGTTCATCTCCCACGCGGCAGCTTACACCTCCCTCAACATTCAACTACAGTGTTCTTATCTAATGATAATGGTCATTTAAAAACTTGTGAATTAAGAAAATAATAATGACACTCCTTCAAAAAACGCTGTTTATAGTGTTTTCTGCTTCTTTGAAATATACAAAAAGTTATAACACCCATTTTTATGTTGAAGCGGAAATAATGTACAGTACGCTTACCTTTTGAACATGACAGTTGTAATGTTGGTATTGCTCCATTCTTAATCCTTACAAAGGTTCTTGGCACTGATAGCCCAAGTAGTTACTACTTCAAGTTCTCCTCAAATGCACTGACCTCAAAATGCAAGCTGCATATTTGGGTATTTTCAGCATTTTTAGTCTTCCCTCTTCTTCTCAGTTCTTTATCCTTCGGAAAGCGATGGGAAATTACATCATCTCAGTGTCTAATTTTGATAAACACCCCAAAACCTGAGCAAGTGGTCGACTTGGTTGCTGCTGTTGAATTTCTGTAGGCACAGGTGACGTCACGAGCTCCAAGGGGTTGTAGTGGATTCCTCCCCTACAAGCACCGAACCTTCTCGAATTCCCCAGCCTACGCCTCCACCGCCGCCCACGGAGCGGGGGTCAACTATCTACCCACGCCTACCCCTGCCTTATAAGGCCTGACACCGCTGTGACCACCCTCTTTTCTACTCAGTGCCACCTTCAAGCAACACCTCCTCCTCCGCGCCAGCCTGGCGGCTGCCGCTCCCGCCAGCGACCTTGGCGTCCCTCAAGCCGGTGCCCTCACTCTGGGCACCCTCACCACCCAGCTCTCTCTACTCAATGCTTATTACCATGCTACCTACCCAGCATAAAGCTGCATTGTACATCCAATACAATATGTGTACAGTGAGCACATTGTGAGTTTCCTTTCTCCATCCCATCCTGAGTGTGAACCAACATCTCATACCCCCACAGGGTTCTGCCTTCTTTGACGAGAGAGTAGAGTTTTCTATATATAGTATACAGAACTTGACATAAAGGCGAAAAAAAACTCAGCTACTGTCATGCGCATTTGCAAAAATGAAGGTTACTTCTTTAACATACTTTTACAGCATATAACATTGAGAATTACAGTTGAAGAAATATTACTCTATAAATTGACAACCTGACACTAATTTTGTCCACAAATAATGTTTTCAGGATGTAGGTTAAATACGTAGTTCCAATTCTGAAAAATCAGTAAATCTGAGAAAAGGCGTGTGTAACCAGCCTAAGGGTCGAGTTCAATGTAGTATCTATTGATTCAAATTATTTACATAAACTCAACCCATATCCGGACCTACCTGTGAGAGGCAAGATATAACACAAAATTTAAATACTAGTTGAGAAATATTCACACTGACTTGATGAATTATATTAAAATACAGTATTTTCCATTACGTTCAAAATTATCCTTTTGGGACTAACAGAAATAACTTATAATGTTTCTTTGTTTATTTTGGGTGATGAATATTACCTTGAGTTTCCTGTTGCAATGAAGAATACCAGGGACCATTACGCTAAAAATAAGCTGTAGTATCCGTAAACTGTCATATAAGTAACGTACTTCAGGTAAACGCCTCAATAAACATATTTATTTCACAAATTTGTCGCTTTCTAACATAAAAAAGAACTTTATTATTACTAACACTTCTTGTGCCCTAAAGCGTTCAGCTGACGTCAACTGTCAGCTGCCAACATGGCTAAGAAAAGTGAAAATGAAATAGTTCGCGTTATTTTATTATGTATATTATGGTATTTAGTTAGTTCTAGTAATAATGTAGTAGGCAAGACGCTACTCAACGAATTCCCCTATCCAATGACAGTAACTATGGTACAATTGGTGTCGATAACGTTATACAGTAGCCCAGTGTTAAGATGGATGGGAGTGAGAAGAACAGCTGATATTAGTTGGAGTTATTACAAGAAAATCATTATTCCTCTCGCTTTTGGAAAATTTGTTGCATCAGTGTTTTCACATGTTAGTATATGGAGAGTGCCAGTCTCCTATGCTCATACAGGTGAGAGACTATGTGGTGTGGAGTGTGTAGTGCAATTTGGGAATTTCATATTAAAATATACTGTGCACTGTATTGTATATGGTTACGTGAATTTAAAACTATTGCATTATTTGATTTATTATCTCAGACATAAATAATGTGTGAATCAGGATTTTAATTAAGGTACCCAAAAAACATGTACAACAGCCAGTATATATTTTTGTGTCTTAAAAATCATAGTGTTTCACTGCTTTGTACAGTGAATAAAGAGGCTTACTGGTAATAATGTACTATTTAACAGATTATTTTATTTTGGTCATTCATGGAATCATAGGAATTTAATCCCCACCAGAAAAGGGGAGTAGCCCCTCCCCCCGGTTAGGTTAGATATACTGTGCCTGGGTTCTGTCGCTCGGTTGAGTTAAGTTAGATTAGGTTGAATATCTAAATACACGGATGACCGAAACTAAAATTTTACCATTTAATACACGTAAAATCATGTGGATGAGTTTTCGTTTGAGGATGGTATTCATTGCTTCCTTTCATATATATATATTTTTTTTAAAGATACAGTAATTGTTAGGTTATGTTATGTACTGTTAGGGGTAACAGTCTAGCAGAGGAGGGGCTCTATAATAACTATATTGTAGAACATACAATATCACTATATGATAAATGATTTCTTGGTAAAATTTTAGTTTCGTTCATCCCTGTATTTATATATCCAAACTATGGGATTTCAGACAGATATGCAGGTCCAAATCTTTCAAAACTCATCAAAAACCATCGGAAAAACATAGTTTGGACATCTAACCTAACCTATTTCCTAAGATTCTCTAAATGAACAAAATTAAAGTAAAGTAATACCAATTTCTTATCTAATGAAAAGGGCAAAAGTGAGCAAAAATTATATTTCGAGTAGTACAGTACTGTAATATCACTTTGGGGTAATAGAGTAGATGGCTAACACCAGAAAGAGCTGTTGGGGTTTGTTCACTTTTCCACAGATGTTCTTTGGATGATAGTAAGTAATAAGACTGGTATGACAACTGTTTCCTTTAATTTTAAGTATGATTTTTAATTTGGTTTTCCGTCTTTGATTGTAAACCATTGTAGTGGGCAGGGCATGAAAGAAAAGTGAAATTATGCGGTAAAACACGGCAAACAGTTATAATATGGTAGTAGTTTGATGTCTTTACATAGTTTATGGGTGAAGAAATTAATTATTTACTGTACATGTGGAGCTACTCTTTTTTTTTTTAGCCGAGTCCCTCTTCAAGAGACGTTTCCCCAATGAAGAAGACAGATTCCGCCACCTCAATATTAAGGTAAGTTCCTTCTGTTGAATATGCCAAAGTTAGGTTAGGTTCTACAGTATTAGGTTCTGTGCATTGTCGTATCATTTGTATTACTTACTATCATCCAAAAATTATATCTGGAAAAAGTCAAGAAAATCGAACAACGGCTTCTAGTTTTTGCAATCTCCTTATGTTAGGTTACATTAGACAAGTTTAGGTCAGTTTCTAATAGGTTCTGTGCATTGTCGTATCATTTTCATTATTATCATCCAAAGAATATCTTCTGAAAAAATGAACAGGTAATCCTGGACCTAACCAACCAAAAAAACCTTCCTAACTTCCTAGCCTGGGGGGGACGGAGCCCCGTGAACCCTCCATTTTTTTGAGGACGTCAGAGTACTCTAGGACCAAGCGGATCAGCAAATAATTAATTTCTTCACTTACAAAGCACATAAGGGCATCATTTTAGTGTCAATGAACAGTTTTTCACCATTTTTTTACCCCCATAATTTCCTTCATCCTTCATACCCTGCTCAGTACAGTTGAATCATGATCATAATAGAGAAAAATATAAGAAAACTAAGAAAATAATTATAAGTAAAATAAAAAGTTGTCCTATTGGTTTTATTACTTACTACTGTATCATCCCAAGAACATGTGGGAAAATGAACAAAATCGAACCACTCCTCCTGGTGTTATCCATCTACTTCAGTATTACCAATGAACGAAATCAAACACCTCCTTCTGGAGTTCGCCGTCTGCTCCACCGTTACCCACTTTAGTACAATCTGCACTTGACAACTGCTGTGAACAAACAGTAATTTCATTCCTGTTACTTCAGGAATGTTAGCAGGTGCCAGCAGTGTCTGGAGGTACATCATCAAACTAACATGTATTTTTATTACAAAATGTGCAAATCCTACTACAGTACAGTACAGTATTATTAATACTAAGTCATATTTTTAATTATTATTATTAATGTAATAAAAATAATACCAACACAGGGTATCATCTGTAGAAAAATTGTCTAAAGTTGCTGATGCTTTTGTTGTTTATTAGTGAGTATTAAACAGAATAGGTCAGTACTGTATTTATTATTAATGTCTAAAAATTTTTGGACTATGCCTTCTGTTGCTCATGGAAACATAGTTGGCAGTGGTATTGTGCAAGCAGCAGTAGCATTTTTGTTTAAGAACAAAACATAAAAGGAAAAGAGGTATTCCTCCACCAAATTTGCTTTATTTTTGGGGTAAGAAATAAGTTTTCTTCAATAAATATTTTTCATTACGTACAGTAGCTGATAACCCCTCTTGTTAACCTTAGGCTGGAATGAAAAATGTGGGGCCATGCCTTTCATATAAGGCAGTATCCTGTAGTCATCACAAAAATCTAATTAGTTTTTTTTTCATTATTTTAAATTGTTTAGCATCACTTTATTTACAGTATTTACAGGTATTGTATTTAAATTATTTGTAATGTATGATATATTAATTTTGTTTGCTCAGGGTTGTGTTTTGACCTAACCTAACATAACCTATGGAATAAACTGCTAAATAGCTAATTTTGAAAATGAGAGTGGATTGGAGTATGGATATTTATGATCAAGCCGGAAAACTTGTCAGCTTTCTCCGTTTTAGGGCACACATATGGAATCCCTTATTTGGCATGCCGCTGTCCAGAAGGATCTGAAAACCAGTTACTCTAGCCATGGGTAGGAATTTTAAATGCAAGTGCCAATACAGGTAGTTCTCCTAGCTGCCACTTCATAAGGTTACCGGGTAGGTTAGTTTAGGTTGTCTGTTTGTAAGTTATTTTGTAAAATTACCAATATGCATGCCAGTAATTTTGCAAAATAACCAATTTATAAAAAAAATAGTTACACATACTACAGTACATTAACATCGTCTCAAGGTTTTCTCTTAAAAGGATTTTCTTTCTTGCAGTAAAAGCTACAATGCCTCTATTCACTGTTGTGCTTGCGAGAATGTTGTTTGGAGAAAAGCAGACAACTAAGGTATGAGTAAATTTGTCCTCTTTGGAAGCTTAAGTATACTGTAAAGCTTATGATATTTTATGTATACCTTCTGCATGTTTACAATATTTTTGAAAAATTGGCCCATTTGCAAAAAGGCCAAACAGCTGGCATATTTGCATAATTATATTAATGCTAGGAGCTTAATCTAAACATAGCCTGGCCTTAGCCATGGCTTGGCATTAAATGGCTTTGTGCAAAAAGACCAGCTGTTTTTCCTTTTTGCAAAAGCCAGTTTCATAAAAAGGCCATAACATATACAGGTACCTGTATATTGTAATTTATTGGAGTTGTTTTTCTGCTTCTGAAGTACAGTAATGTATTTATATGTGCTGTACTGGTGTGTTTCTAAAAAATTATGGATTAATTCTGATAATCCTATTTCATGATTTAGTCCAAATTAAGCAACTTGCACACACTGTACAGCAATCCCATGAATTCTTTAGGTTTAAACCCATGTAAACCGAAGACAATGAGAGCTTGGAATAATTCATTGACATGTTTATACCATCCTGTTACAACCATTACCCATAAATAGTGCACCACCAGTAATAATATATTCTTTGTCATTGCCAATTCCAAACAATCATATTGTCAGAATAATTAATGAACACAATGCAAGCATAGTTTTGATGGCTCTGAACCTGTTGGTTTTCACCAGCTAGCAACTGCAGTTCAGTGATGAGTTTTTTTTTATCACTCATTATAACTGTTCATGTTCAGTTCTATTCATTAAAGCCAAGGAATAGAATGGCGACAACAAGATCATGGCACTATACTGGTCAAGGGAGCTCAGATACCGTATAAATCTGTCAAACATCAGACTTGTCATGATACAGTATAAGTGTACAGTATTGTACTGTACTGTACTATATTGTACTGTACTGTACTTTACTGTACTCTATTAGGAGCAATTGAGATAATGACATAAACCCAGTCAAGAGGGTGTTCAAGGCCACAAGTTTGTTTAGCGAGAATCCAGTTTGATGTCATCCAAGCTCCACCCATTCAAGGAGGCAGGTTTCAATTTTATTGTTGTAGAAACCAATATGTAGTTGTGGTTCAAATTTTTCTGCCATTGTCTTTAGACCTTTAATCTCTGTTGTATAAGAATAGATACCAGCTAATGTGCTGTCACAACTTATTTATGTCTTAAGCCTCAAATAGTAACTTTACCCCCCGGACACTTTTTAAGGTTATAACAGGAAGGTATAAAATAATCAGTGAATAGACCCAGCCATCCTTGTCTAAGGTTTAACAGGATATATATATATATATATATATATATATATATATATATATATATATATATATATATATATATATATATATATATATATATATATATATATATATATATATATATATATATATACTGTATATAATTTTTTTTAGATTACTGTAATATACAGGTTTATGACTGCTGTTTTTATTGCAGGTATATTTTGCATTAGTTCCAATCATCTTGGGAGTAGCCATTGCCACCATAACAGAGATCTCTTTTGACATGCTGGGGCTTGTGGCTGCCCTCATGGCAACAGGAGGCTTCTCACTCCAAAACTTATTTTCTAAAAAGGTAAGAGTGGATGGAGTTCATCCATGGCATATACTGTATATTAGAGCATCTAGAGTAATTTAGTAAAATAAAATATCAAAAAATAATTGTTGAAAAACTTGCTCATGTCTGGCAATGTATTTACAATATAATTAGGGTCAAACATCTCCCTGAATTTCAGAAGTTGACCCTAAGGCTAACAGTCTTTGAGCCATCTACCACAATTTGTGAGGATAAAATCCCTGAATGAGAAGCTCAGATAAATCCAGAACCATGTGATGGTAAACAACTATCTATGTCATCAGCACTGACAATAACATTGGTCTAACACCGCCCAGTCAGAAGATCCAACTCAATACCCTATTTCATGTTACAAGTGTAAAATACTGTATTACCTCAAAAACTCCAGCAATGAATATCACACCTAACTTTTATCTTCATCAAAACATTGTTGCAGATATTGAGCAAATTATCATCACCATTTTATGGCCATATTCCACACTTGATTAGGTTTGCATGGTACACTGTACTAAAAAATATTGATCCCTATAACCTTCTTACAGGATATATATATATATATATATATATATATATATATATATATATATATATATATATATATATATATATATATATATATATATATATATATATATATATATATATATATATATATATATATCCATTAGTCTGAATCCTTCTTAACAGTAACTCTCCGATAACTGGAAAGTTCCGAGAATTCTGGGGATAGGGTAGTTTTTTCCGGGTTTGAGAGATGAAAATCAGGATAATTTTTCGGAAATTCCGGAAATTTCTGGGGATGGGGGATATTTTTCTGGGTTCGAGAGATGATGTAATGTACAATTTCTGGAACTTAGGAGAGCATTTTTTCTGTTACCTTGAAAATTACGGAGATAAGGGATTATTTCCGGCTTTGAGAGAGTCGTCTCGTTACCCGGAAATCTCTCATTAGCAGAATTTCTCTGCATCAATTGTTCAGGCTAATGAATATATATACAGGTATATATATATATATATATATATATATATATATATATATATATATATATATATATATATATATATATATATATATATATATATATATATATATATATATATATATATATATATATATATATATATTATGCAAGTAAATCACTGTAGGTGAGTACAGACTGTACTCACCCTGAAGATGTGAATTACACAAAGCGCTTTGGGAACTTGTTTTCTTCTTATTATATATATATATATATATATATATATATATATATATATATATATATATATATATATATATATATATATGTATATATATATATATGTATATATATATGTATATATATATATATATATATATATATATATATATATATATATATATATATATATATATATATATATATATGTATATATATATATATATATATATATATATATAATGCTTGCAAACTTTTATATTATATATTATATTTGATATTTTTAAAGTTTTCCTTTACTTTTAACACCAATTAAAGTGGATATGACATGAATTCAGCAAGTATTTGGATATACAGTATGGTAATCATGGCCCATCTCCATAGTTTAGATCTGCGTGATCTCCTCATACAGGCAAGGTACTCATGAAGTGTTCTGTGTTCACACCTTGTGTTTCACCAATTCCATGCATCCTTTATCGAGTTAAGGTCCGGTGAATTCTCAGGTCACTTCAGCACTCGAATATTCTTGCATGCCCTTCATGAGGAGTGGTGTTTTAGGGGCTTGACAAATGGGTATGTTCAGCTCCTTTTGCAGTCAGCATTGACTCATTTGTTCCAACACATCTTGAAGGAGGTTGTAGTGGACTTTTTCAATTGCAGCTGCAGACATTGTTAGAGGATTCATGGCTTCTCATCTTATAAGCATGACAGTGGCCTTGGAGGTCTTTTTGCACTTCCTAAGAGACAATTTATGTGGTATAACAGAATTTGATGAAAATTTTGTGTCTTGTGCTTGCACTTCAGTTTTAATTGTTGCTGTGCCTCGTCCTGGATTACCTGCAGAAATACAGTATTTAGTTCCCAAAATAAGGCAAGAATGTAAGCCTTTTCTTTAGACACATACTGACTGTTATGAGAGGAAAAAATCGGGCTAGTATAGCGGTGTTTTTGTTTGTTTTGTTTTTCATGTTACCAAAATGCAGCCGAAACTGATGCAACTGTTACAGGACATAACACCCACCGGCCATGTGGGAATCTCGGGCATAGAGGCCATCTTATTTGTACCACTGAGTTAGAAACAAAAAAAAATTTGATGGGTGGTAACTGAGCTCTAATTAGTGCATAAAAAATACTGTACTTCTAATCACTTACTAGATAATTATTTTTGGCAGACTCTGTATGTACAGTACATATTATATCACTGTGGTATTTATATGCATCACTACCAATTTTAAAAAAAAGAAAAAATCAACTTCCTCTGGTGCAGTACAGTACAGTCAACCCTCGCTTTACGCGGTCCCACATTCCGCGTTTCCACGTTTACGCGGTACCCTGCCGAAACAGGAATGCTCACATTCCGCAGTGCGTGTACCCCTTTACGCGGAGAGCGGCTGGCGAGCCACGCCATTTTTGGATCCAAACCTCCCGCCATCTCTCCCGCCCTCTCCCGCCATCCGCCATGTTGTGTAAGCGGCGTGAGCATGGTGCGCACAAGGTCGCCCAGTCATCAAAACATTACCGAGTTCTTCACCCACCACAGCCGGCCCAAGTCAGTGATAGTGATAATTATAGTGAGGATATGGATTTATATGGACTTTGAGGGGTTTGACAAAGAGGCCCTGCAAGCCTCTGTGGTGGATAGTGATACAAGTGATACAGGTGAGGACCAATAATCTGCCTTCTGCCTCGGAACCAACCGCCCATCCCCGTGTGCCCAACCATCTTTTCTACTAATGTAAGTGTTAAAAAACCTAATATTATTGATATTTCTCTTAATTATTAATTGTGTGTGCATACCATCGTAAAGTTAAGATAATATTTTTACTACAACATAGTTGTGTGTCGTCAAAAAGTGGAGTTTGGGGGTCGGCCCGGTCTCTATTTCAATTAATCCCATATGTTATGTTGTTCACTTTACGCGTTTCTCACTCTCCGCGGTACCCTGTGGGTTGAATTAACCGCGTAAAGTGAGGGTTGACTGTATATTGCTTCATAATATTATAGCAAATGAATTTTTTACTGAACATAATTTAGTAGAGTATTAATAGATTTCATCAAACTCAAAGAGTGATATAGTTTTTACATGGTTCTTAAAATATATTTTCTTTGGCATGGAATGTTTAAAATTTATATAAATATTTTTTTTTACAGGTATTGACTGACACGGGTATACATCATTTAAGGCTCCTTCACCTGCTTGGATGCTTGGCACTCTTCATGTTCCTTCCTGTCTGGGTATTTACTGATGGTCACAGCATTTTTTATGATGATACTCTGGTAGGTGTCTAGGTGCATGTTATTACATTATTATGTTATTGATATTCGGTAATGAACGTGTGCCATGAACTAACGCTAGGCAACTTTAATAATAAATGCCTTCAGTATTTTGAAAACCCTTTGTGTACATTAACATCATTTTAAAGGAATTAGTTAATTTTTAAAGGGTTTTAACATTATAATCAAGAGCTTGTCATCATACTGTACTCCCACTCCAACTAGTTTGTACTGTACCTTTGATGGGATATAACACATGAGGGTTTGCTCTCATGCCCTTCCTTAGGAGGAATCACCAAGGATATATAAACCCTTGTTCCCCTGATTTTGTCAATTTCTCATGGGTTTATTTTTTAGGTAATTTATAGTCTTAAATGGTCTTTGAACTTGGGTCCGGTTCTCAAGTTATGTAACTATGAATATTTGAAGTTAAAGAGGATTTGGTCATAATTAAAATATTTTGTTGAATAATTATTACAAATTTATAGTTAAGACCACAATAAATGTCCAAAATGACTGCGTTCAGCTTGGATCTAAGCAAAAAAACCCAGCTGAGGAGATGTATTGCTTCACTGAATTATGGATAGTACATACAAATTGACTTTTGATTTTCTTGGTATGGTAACTCATTCAATGTTATGATGAGCTAGAATGTATCCAAGTTGAAGATGGACATTTTAAACATTTTTTGTAGACTAAACAATACATTTACAGCAAAGTAACAAAGAACAGACCAGCCATCATAATGGCTAATTAGCTGATAAGCAATGAAATTATGAATTTATCAAACATTTTAATTACTGTACAGGGTATAGGTACAGTATTTTCAAATTACTCTTTATCTTCAAATACCTAAAGTTACATAACCACTGAGAATCGGACCCATAAAATTTTTTAATGGAGATGGCTTCAAAAATAAACTCGTTAAGTATTGGCATAAAGTCATGGGTCACCCTGTACTGTATAAGCAATTTCAAGTTTTGGATCAGAGTTCTGTCTTTGCAATTAGAACACTAAGTAATAGTATTATAAATGTTCAATAAAAATGTAAGTTGCCGGTTATGCATTATTTATTTTGTAATTGTTTGTTGCTGTCTGTTTCGTGAATTAAAGGATGATACAGAACTTTGATATAAAATTTAAAACTGCACACAAGAAGAAGAAAATCATCACCAAAACATGAATACTGTTGATTTAGGATCTTCTTCTTGGTTAACATCATTTTTGCCTGTGAGGAGAACCTTTTCATATTTGAGTGTTAAAACATTTTAGAGTGTGAATGATGACATGGTCTACATCATCATATCAAAACAACTTTAGTAATACTTATAGCCCATTGAATTAGATGAAGTTTAAATGGCTGATGCAGCAGGTAGGGTTAGAAGACCAGTCCTCTTTTGCTCTTTTACCTTAAATCTGTTCTGTTCATTGATTGGTGCTATGTTTTCAGCTTTAAGATTGTGGTGACCTTGTGGCAGCCATTGTACAAAACCTTTATTTCAGAGACGAAGAAAGTTTGAGTGCATATTACCTGGCTGATGTGTATTTATATTTTTGGTGTCAGGCTTAGGTAGCAAGTATAATTACTGTACTGTACCACATTAATATCTTCAGTGTTGTGTTAATAGAGAATACTTTATTTTCCATACAGCTGCTAAGAAGAGACCCTGGAGAGACTATCATCCTGCTCTTGGTGGATGGTGGCCTTAATTGGTTGCAGAATTTTGTGGCCTTTACCATCCTAAATTATGTCACGCCACTCACATATGCAGTTGCCAATGCCACCAAACGAATCTCTGTCATAGTAATTTCACTACTACTGCTGAGGAATCCAATCTCACTTGCAAATATTGTTGGCATGTTCCTGGCTATTTTAGGAGTCCTGGGCTATAATAAGGTAAAAACAACAAAACTGTTTTACAATTACTGTACATATTCTACATTTCATCATAAATCTTTAAACTTACAGGCAATACAGTACCTTATTGGATACTCATGTTTCACTTAAATACAGTACAGGTAGTCCCCGACTTACGACCGACTCGACTTACTTCCATCCGCACTTACGACCGCCTCAATCGTACCAAAATGTGGTCAAATTATGTCTTTTTGAGTCCCAAAGTCAGCACACAGACAAAATTTTCATCTGTAATTCACTTTAAAATGGCTGACAAGCTTAAAAGTGAGTGTTTTGTGGTGCTGAGAAGAAAAAGAGACCCAAATTTTCGATTTTCTGTCTTATTTAAGTAATTCCGACTTACAACCATTTCGACTTAACGGCCTGGATGTTGGTCCCTAACCCTGTCATAAGTTGGGGAGTACCTGTATATCAGTACCAGGACGGTGCACTCTATTCTTACATAAGCACACAACTCTATCTTTCAAGGCTCTGGCACCCTGTCTCCCTTTGATTTAGACTGTTGGGTATCTTAACATTCGCTCCTCCAGCCACAAAGAGTGACACTCAATTATTTAAAATCCTTTGTTATTGCTAACTCCCCATCTCCTGAATCCCTTCGTTTCAACACCACTACATAGATTCTGCTAGTATTTTTTTCCTAACTTCAGTCTCTAACTATCACATTCTTATTCCATTATAATACAGTATGTAGTTCTTTAATGCATATGTAGTTTCTCCATACATAGTCACATTTTAACATTCCCATTTACCCAAGTGTTCCATGCTCTTCCAGCTTTATTTTCCTTGTTAGCAAAGTAATTAGAGCAACCTGATGAGGGGTATCAAGCTAATTACTTGTTTCTTTACTTTATGACGTCTCTCATTGTAAACATGGTACCCAAACAGATATACGTACAGTATTCCTTTTAAATCCCTCTTATCTGTCACCTTGCCACTTGTAATCACGATAATTCTTTAATCATGATTCTTCCTACTTTTAAAGGGCTGACACCCTTTATCCATATGGATTTTGGACCTGTGTCATTTGTTTATGTTGTTTAACATCACTTTATATACAGGTACAGCATTTACAAGAGTTTATATTATTTGTTATGTATGGGATATTATTGTTGTTTTGTATGGACTGGGTGGTGTTTTAACCTTACCTAACCTAATGTATGGAATTAACTCTGTTCCGACTTGTGAACAGATCAACTTACCACACTGGCCGTCAGTCACGAATATATCCGTGATAAATAATAGGAGTGGGCTGGCGCCAATCACGGATATATCTGTGATGGAAGGTTACCAGTACCTTGTGACCTTACTTCCATTACAAGTAGCTTGATTTTTATGAAGTGTTTCAAGCACCTCTAGGGCTATGATTTGGCAAACCTGTCAGCCTGGCCATGCTGCCACACATTACAGGAACATACTTCAGGAATTTGGAATGTGAGCTTGGGGATGAGTTATTACTCTCACATGTGACCACCACCCACATACCTTTGTCGGCCAATTCTGGCCTACCTACACCATTGCCCAACCCTCCCACCACACCTCATCACTTCACCTCACCCTCTCACCACTGCACCCCACCCTGTTTCCACCTCACCTCACCCTCTCACAGCTCATTAATGCACACATTGACTAGTACAAAGTTTCACTTGAAAGAGTGAAAAAGTAGTATAGAAGAATACAGATAATACTATAGATAAATGTAATAAGTGTTTTAAGTACCTATAATGAGAGTCGTACAAACACCCGCATATGCATACAAAACATCAAGTATGATATGTCTCCTCAACATATTGTAAATATTAAGTGTTATTGATTGAAAAATGTTATAAATAACAATAATATTCAATCATTGATAACAACAATATGTGTAAAATCAATATATAGCAGTTTGCACACTTCATGTGTGTGTGTTGCTTGCTAAATATTAACCAAAACAATTATGTAGACTTCATAATATACAGTAATAGTGTGTTGTGGGCTAAAAATAGATAATTAAATGTCACCGAAAGTATATACAGTACAATGCAAATAAGATACATGATGTGGCAAAAGCGCAATGACTTGTACTAGAGAGTGATTGTCAGTGTGAACCATTCCCATGGTGATGGATGAAGGTCACTCTCAAGAGGCTCCTGTATTTAAATTGCCAGAGCTCATCTAGTAGATATTTTTTTTCCGGCGCTGGTGTGTGATTTAATCATAATATCCTGCAACAACGCACGAGTTAAACAGGGTCTAGGAATGTAACCAGTTTGTAACCTGGGGTCTCCTTGTACTAATTTGTCATGTCCCTTCAAATGTCCAGCTAGGTTTTTTTTTTCAATTAATTGCTAATACATGTATATTGACCAATGCCTTCCTCGGCTCATTTTTTATTAATTTTTCCCTTAATTCTATCTGGAACAGTATCAATGGATGCAATCCATGTATCTTTACAGTGACCCCATAATTATTTTCTTTTGCACTGATGTAGTGGTAAATCTCATCACCATCAGCCCCAAATGGTGTCTTTAGTACCTTGAGGTAACATTTTAAATTTCTGAGTGTGACAAGAAAAGATAAACCAATGGTGTACTGTAAATGAGTTAGTTCCAGCCACTTACGTCAAGGATTATGAAGGGATTTCAACCAATCGTCATGGTTAACTAAGTTTTAGGTTAAAACTGCAGAGATACTGTACGTATTGTGAAAACTTCAATCTCACCCCACCCCCCTCCACAACACTGCTGTTACCACTGCCTTTCCTAATCTTTGCTAATGAATTTCCTCAATAAAATCTGTTAAATGGTTTATTTGTTAATGTGATCCATTGTATAATTACCTGTTATATTGCAGGCCAAATATGATGCAAATCAAATGAAGAAGAAGGCAGCTGTTGCACCACTAAGCCAGGTGATGAGCACCAAGCTTCTTCAGGGTTCTGCTGATAATGGTGGGCAAACTTTTAAGAATCTCTACTCTCCACTGTATAATGGGAACCCCTTACAAGCTCCCCCTTTCCATCCAGCATATGTTTTCAATCATATTGGGTCAGCTGGGCTGGGTCCCTATCCCAGGATGCCAAATGGTATTGCAGAAGTCTCCCACCAAAGTAGTGTTTCTCTTGCAGGCGCTCAGAATGGTTATGTTAACAATAGTATCAATGCCAGTTTACATAGTACCTTTACTGGACATAATACACGATCAAATGGAATAATATATAAGGTATAAATTTTCAGAAAAGTAGTTAATGAAAATTTTCTATTTTTTTACATGACTGTTAGTTAATCCAGGAAAGTTTAGATAGTATAGGTGAAATAAAATATTTCTGTTAACACATACAGTAGTGTACAGATTATTGGTGATGGTGTGTTTTGGATATTGATGTTCAGAAATTTCCAATTTGGTGCCTTTAGTAGTTTTCTACCATCTAAAATATTTATCGAAGCTACTTAAGTTATGGGTCATTGTAGTTTGTTATATTTTAAAAGATCCAGTATTCATTTTTTTATTACCTATATATTATTAGTACTGTACTGTTATTGGTTGAGTTTTATTGTTTGTAAAATGTATGATTGCTAGTATTAGACTGCTCTTAGAAATAAATTGGAGACTTTTTATTTTGTACTTACCAATTATTTTTTATCAAATATTTCTCTGATGCCAGAGACACATGCAGAGTTCTTTCAATGGAGTAAAATAACTTTTGAAATTTGTAAGAAACAGTAATGCTTACCATGTATGTCTTAATTACAGCACGTTTTATCATTTATTTATTGTGTGTTTTATAACTCAACTTATGGGTACACACACACACATAGTAATATGTCATCAAAACTAACAGGCAAGACTTAATGAATGAAGTTTATTCATAAATTTTGATGTTCTATATACATAACACTTTAAATGTGCTACAATTACAGTATATAGTATACAAATTTACTCTTATCAATGTTATAATTTTTGTGTTGCAGTGAAACTGTATGATAATTATTGTGGTCACATGCATCAACTTTAATAGATCCTAAACACAATTTGTTAGGATCATAACAGGTTGACAACCCTTTATCCGAAAACCAAAAAGCTCTGAAAACCGTATATATATATATTTTTTTAAACAGGGATTAGCCCATCGGGGCCTGGGGGCGAAAATGTAAAAGTAATAATAATTATAATAATAATATTCATAGTAAATAAAAATTTTGATACAAAATACACCCAAATATAATAATAATAACAATAATAATAATAATAAAATATAATAATAAAATTAATAATAATAACAATAATAACAATAATACTGTTATAATAAAATAATAATAATTAAGAAATACAAGAATGAAAAAAAGATAAAAAGTGAGAAACACGACCTAGACCCAAGAAGTATTATTATTATTATTATTATTATAATAATTATATTTTTGCCCCCCAGGCCCAAATGTGGGTCAGTGACTTGTGCCCAGGTGGGCTAATACACACATAAAAAAAAAACTAACCATTCTGTAAACCGAAAAATTTCAAATTACGAAATGCCTCTGGCCCCAAGGATTTCGGATAAGGGATTGTCAACCTGTACTATGGTTTTGAGCAGATCCTTTTAACTTATTTTAGATATGGCCCATGTAAAGAGCCATGCAAATACATACCCGGTATGTTAAATACCCTGTATTGACAGTTGTCAGTCAATTTTGACCAAGTCCTGGCCCCAGGCTTACCCTTAAAGTCAGCAAGGACATCCTCTCTTTGGTGTCTGCTCCAGTCCCATAACTAAAGAGCATTTATATGAATTATGACATCATTGTTCATGGAGCTATTATTTGTCAAAGTTTAATGTTAGCACTTATCAGTCTATTTTATGACCCCATAATAATTTTTAAGAAACTATGTGCTCAAATTAATTTCTTAATAGTTGTTGATGTAATCATTAGACAGAAAAAGAGGTGATTAGAACAACACCCCATCAGAGTTGTCACTGATGTAATTTATACCCTGCTTCAGTGTATAATTCTCAATTTCCAATAGTATTCAGTAAAAAGAAAAGTACACAAGCAGATTTGGCTATGGCAAAGGGAATTCCTGTATAACTAGTTTTTTAATAAAGTTCCCCAAAACTCATTAATAAATACCTGTACTGTACTGTACAGTATTGGCTCTCTATACCAAACCGCTCCTCAGATTCCAGTACTTTTACCTCTCTATACCGAATTAATTTGCCATATTGTATACCAAACCCTCTATTACTGTAGTGTAATACCATACTCTAACGTGACTTAGAAGTAACAGAAATAAAATATAAAACAAAAAAATAGTGGGATGTGAATTTTATGGAAAAAGATGGGAGATAGGCACTAAGGCAGGTTGCTGGCAAATCAGCTTACAATGGGGTCATTATAATATACTGTACTGTATAGTATTTGATATAGAGTTACTGTACTTTCTTAACAATCTTATTTTTTACATTTGAATGATACATGTTGACTTTATAGGGCAACTTGTACACTAAGATAAGTGATTAATATATAAACCAGGGAATATGCAGACGCATAATACAATACAAAATTAATAAGTGCTGAAAAATACACTGCATTATTATTAACTAAGTGTTGAAGATAGTTGTTGTGGTAAGTGACAACCATCTTAAGCAGTAACAGTGGAGATGCATGAGAGAAGTAGAGCATTAACAACACTGCTCAGAGGGAGGACAATGATGGTCGGCTGGTTGGCTTTGTAAACAAGCACCAGGCATTTAACACAATGCAATAACTCGTCTATGGTTGGGTGTGGGATATTTTCAGGAAAATTTATTATTTTACAAATAAATTTTATTAACCCGAAACCAAATGAACGTAGATTATATGAGAATTATGGTGAAATTCAAACTGTCGTGTTAATGGGGCCAAGGGTGGCTTCGTCCAGCCACTTCCCCACCCAACCTCCCACCTATTCAAAAATATTTGATTTCCCATTCTTAATTTTTCTTTCTATTGTGTATTTTCTTTATTTCTAAATCACATTACATCATTTAAATGGTATTTCCATAACTTGCAGCAATTAAGTGGATACAGTGCTCACCTCTTGTTCCAGGGGTCGGTGGTTCAATTCCCAGGCACTCCCAGTTCACCAACTTTAAATGGGTACCTAAGTTTACGACTTGAGGAAATGAAAGCAGTACTGGCAATGCTGCCTCCTTGTGTACTGAAAGCATAGGAGTAATACTTTGTACTGTATCTCTGTTAGTCGGAATCCTTCTTAACCAGAACTCTTCGATAGCCGGAATGGTAATTTTCTCAGAATTTTCTGGGAAAAGATGGGTTTGTAAACAATTTTCCGAGGAACGCATTTTCTGGAAAAATCAGAGGAATTTTTCCGGTACCCAGAAAGTTCCAGAGATGGGGGATTTTGTTTTTCTGGGTTTGAAAGTTAAAAATGAGGCACATTTTCCCTAAGTTACGAGAAAATTTTTCTGGTACCCGGAAAATTCCAGGGATGGGGGATTTTTTCCAGCTTTGAGAAAGTTGTTTCGTTACCCGGTATCTCTCATTCCTGGAAGTGCTCTCCACCAATTGTTCTAGCTAATGGAGATAGCACTACTGTATACTGTATTACTACCTACTAACGATGATGATAATGAAGTATTCTGTACAACAACTGTGACGACGTCTAGCAAGCTTCCCGTGTATTGCTTTCTCAGTTCGCACCAGCACTACTTTTTCTCTGTGCTCTCATTTGCATTGTGTGTTTATTACGTACCTTTTTAGTGTTAAACGCTGTTTTCTCCATTCGGCATGTCTGGAAACGTCCATCTACCTCCTCTGGGGCGCCTAAAGCTAAAAAGGCACGAAAAACAATCACAGTGGACGTGAAATTAAATGTGATCACCCGCCTTCAGTGAGGAAAGCGTGTGTCGGAGGTTGGCCGTGTGCTTGGTTTAAGTGAGAGCACTGTTACCCTGTGCTGTATATGATGGTTTCCCTAACCTGTACCATTTACATGTATTCTAATGGGAAAATTCTGTTTAATTTATGCATTTTTGAATTAAGCGGTGGTTTTCAGGAACATAACCCCCACATAAAACTAGAGGTAGGTGTACAGTATAGTCTGGATTTACGCGGTTTTTGTTTACGCGTTTGGTCACTTACGCGGTGCCATGCCAGAATGGAAGGTTTTAATTGCACAGTAAATTTGGTCATTTACGCAGTGAGCGGCTGGAGAGGTGCAGACGCGACGTGCCATTTTTTACTCATCCGTTCCATTCTTGACCATACGCGGGAAGCAGCGCAGTGAGGAGTGCGGATTAGGTCGCTCCTATGTTATCGCTGATGTCATAAGACGTATCAGACTGTGATTGGGCCACGCATCCTTACCGCCCACGCATTCCCTCCTCCGCTAGCTGTGATTGGTCTAATGTAACATGACGTGCCCTGCCACCAGAAGTCGCTGACCTAGGCGGGCCAGTCTCATTGTTTTCAGTCCGCGTATACAGTTCTCTCTTGTGCCCGCTATTCCCCTCACAATGGCTTCCGCTGGACCCCCACCACCAGAGAAAAACATTGAATTACCTGGACCAAGCCATGATTGTGTGAAGGAAATCATCGAGTTGGGGGAGAAAATTAAGCTCATCCTTGACAACGACCCGGACAAGCATCGGTATGAAGCGTCTAATGACCATCTGACGAAATTTATGGAGCCGTATATCCAGATCTATCTCGACAACATCAATGCTAGTCGTCAACGTAGTATTGAGGACTTCCTCTCCCGCAACCCACCACAACCACAGCCAGCCCAAGTCAGTGATAGTGACAGTGAGGATATGGACTTTGAGGGATTTGTCTGGGAGGCCCTGCAAACCTCTGCGAGTAGTGAAAGTGATTCACCTGAGGGCAACTACTCTGCCCTCTGCCTCGGAACCAGCCGCCATCCACGTGTGCCGACCCAGCTTTTCTACTAACGTAAGTGTTAAAAAACCTAATATTATTGATATTTCTCTTAATTATTAATTGTGTGTGCATACCATCATAAAATTAAGATATTATTTTTACTACAACGTAGGTATTGTGTCAGAAAAAGTGGAGTTTGGGGGTCGGCCCAGTCTCTTATTTCAATTAATCCCATATGTTCTGTTATTTCATTTACGCGTTTCTCGTTTTACGCGGTACTCCACGGGTTCAATTAACCGCGTAAATGCAGACTATACTGTACTATAGCTATTTATTCTCCTTAGTGTTCACATAACATAGTATGGTACAGTACGTACAGGGTATTTTGCTTAGACAGGTATGGTATACCATACTGTATTAGGTCTCACATCTAAAGTGATTGACTGTTGCTGAAAATTTAAGTATTGAATGATCACAGGAAGTTTACCAATGAGTATTTATACTGTGTAGTACAATATTTTAATTTTTGATTCTCATCATAATACAGTACAGGGGGTCCCCAGGTTACGAATGGGTTCCGTATCTTGAGGACGTTCTTAAGTCGGAAATGTACATAAGTCAGAACATGTGCTATGTGCATACTGTACTTACAGAACAATATTTAAAATCCCACTATATCATAGCCTAAGTCCTCATATACATCTAAAATCACTTAATTTAAGAGAAGAGAAGAAATAGAATGTCAAAATACAGTAAATGAAAGTAAAAAAAAAGTCACCAGGTAAATAAAATACTGTAAATTTAAAGTTTAACCGGCGGGAGTTTGTACCGGTAAGTCGGTCGGACACTCGTAAGTGGGGGGACCCCTGTACAGTGTACTAGTGAAAGTAAGTCAAATTAAAAGTACAAAATGTATACAGTATGCTTCACTAGTTTTTGTTTGGTGTATACCTTACACACTGTGGTACAACTGACAAAATTTGACATTTATTTATACAGTATACTGCGGGGTTAGGGACCCAAATCCAGGTCATAAGTCGAAAATGCTTAAATAATACATAGAAAATCTAAAATGGGTGTCTCTTTTTCTTCTCAGCACCACAAAACTCTCACCTTTAAGCTTGCCAGCCATTTTAAAGTGAATTACAAACGAAAATTTTGTCAGTACACAGCACAATACGTTGGGACTCGAAAATACATAATTTGATAAAATTTTGGTAGACTGAGGCAGTCTAAGTGCGGCTGGTCGTAAGTCGGGGAGGATATATATATATATATATATATATCTTGATAAAATCACACGGGAAAATGGAAACAACGGAGTACCTAAGCTTTCGTCTTTATTCAAGACATCTTCAGAGGCAACTGGATTACATGGACAGAGAGAGGCATAAATATACAGGGTGACCTTAAAAACATGAGGTCAGGTCATAATGATGACATCCACTAATCCCCACACCAACACCCACGTAGAGGAGCTTAAGAGAAGGGTGGTGACGTGACTAGACAGGTCAGGTCAGAAAAAAAAGGGGACCCACAAAATAACTATCATACATCAAGATCAAAGGTTTTCAAAGCATTTTTAACCTTGGGCCACTGACAAATAAATTTATGTAACATATCAGTTTTGAACTGACCATCACTAAGGTTTATTGATTTTAATTCCTTAATCAAACTAGCTTCAACCAGAAGTCTTTCTGTGACACAAGATGATTTGAATACTTCTAAGCTTTTTTCCCAAGCAATGGGGTGATTATTATTCCTAACATGAACGAACAAGGCACTGCTTTCAGATGCAGTTCTGATATTATACTTATGTTGTTTGATTCTGAGCTGCAGTGTTTTTCCTGTCTGACCTACATAATTACAATTACATTTGCTACATGGAATACAATAAACACTTCCATTTACATTCAAACTTGGGCTATTCCTTATTAACATATTGGTAATGGTTGAGTCATACTTGAAAACAACATTAATATTTAGAAGCTTGAGGGACCGAACTAACGGGACAAATTCATTACGATAGGGCAGTCAAAATATTCTTAAGTGTAGGAACTTGTCTGGTTTGAGAGGAATGAAAGGATTTTTTAGCCCTTTTAAAACAACGATCAACAAACACAGAAGGGTACCCGAGTTTCTGTGCAATAGAACGAATGTGTTTCAATTCATCGTCAATAAATTCAGAATCACAAATACGCAGACATCTTAAAAACATAGCAGAAAAAACTGACATTTTGGTAGACTCAAGCCTGTATTTATATGGAGTTTTTTGAGTCTAGATTACTCCCCAATATAGTGGACTTTATTCCTCCATGGTATAGATATGTAGATGATGGTCTTTGTCTTTGGCCTAGAAACAGTGACCCATTGGAATTTTTAGACAAGCTTAATGATATTGTCCCTAGTATCACATTCAAAATTGAAAGAGAAATAAATGAATCCCTTCCATTTCTTGATATGCTTATCATGAGAAATGGCCAAAACTTTAAATTCAAGGTATATAGAAAGCCCACACAGGTAGACAGTTTCATTCACTTTTTATCAAATCACCTTGAGTCTACCAAAATGTCAGTTTTTTCTGCTATGTTTTTAAGATGTCTGCGTATTTGTGACTCTGAATTTATTGACAATGAATTGAAACACATTCGTTCTATTGCACAGAAAATCATTAATCATTATGAGAAATAATATTGGGCCCAAAACGCTGCCTTGTGGAACTCCGTTTTCTAGGACAAATGTGTCTGACTTTACGTTACCTTTTAATTTGACGGAAAAAGTTCTGTCTTGCAAAAAATTTCGAATGAAAATTGGCAAATTACCTCTCAGACCTCGGTCACCACGAGGTCAGGTCTTTTATAGCGGAGGTAGGCATGGCTTAATAGTTGACCTCCGTCATGTAAGGCGGCGCTGGTTGACCTAGACCACGAGGCATACACTGGGGAATTGGTAGGGTCGGCTACTCACTACTCAGCGACAAACAGCGTTTGTAGGGGAGAAATCCACTACAATACTCCCCCTTCCCTCCAGGCGGTGTAGGAGACTTGTTGTCTGCAGGGTTGCTTAGCACATGTGAGGCAGAACGGGCGGTGCATGCCTCATGTGAGACAACGGCGATGGCGTGGATGAGCCGGTCGCTGGATACAACTGTCTATATACACACTGTCTGTGGGAGAAGAGAGGGAGAAAAAGGGTGTGTGGAGGCGATGAATGTTGTGCTTCCCTCACGGCAGGTACAGAGTCGTCAGATGCGCCTGCTGGGGTGTGTTGGCCTGGATCAGGAGCAGGGGCAGCGTCAGCAGGAGCGGAGGAGAGTCCGTGACAGCAGCTGGGTCCACGACAGCAGCAGGGTGCAGGACAGTAGCAGGGGGTACTGCTGGGCCGGGTCGGCGTCTGGGGCAGGAAGGGTGTTGGGGTCGGTAGAACGTGGTGCTTGGGGCCGGAAGAGGAGCTGGTGTCTGCTTTTAGAAGCAGTGCTGCTCTAGGATGTCTAACCTGCGGTGTAGAGACAGTAGCTGTAGAGCCGATGAGAGCTGCCTCTGTGTGGATAAGCCAGTCTTCCATGTTGCTTGAAGACTGGGAGAGTGATCGGTTTCTCCTCCATCCTGTGTGAATGCGAATCTCCGGGGTTACCATTTGTGGGGTAAGTGATGTTTGGGTTCACACTCAGGATGGGGTGGAGAAAGGAAACTCACAATGTGCTCTCTGTATACATATTGTATTGGACGTACAGTGCAGCTTGGTGCTGGGAAGGCAGCATGGTTACAAACGTTGAGAAGAGTGAACTGGTTGGTGAGGGTGCTCAGAGGAGGACCAGCTTGTGGGACGCCATGCTTGCCGGTGGGAGCGAGGGCCGCCAGGCAGTAGGCGGAGGGGGAAGAAAGAGAGAGCTTGGTCACCACGAGGTCAGGTCTTATATAGCGGAGGTAGGCGTGGCTTAATAGTTTACCTCCGTCATGTAAGGCGACGCTGGTTGACCTAGACCACGAGGCATACACTGGGGAATTCGCGGGGTCGGCTACTCAGCGACAGCGTTTGTAGGGGAGGAATCCACTACAATCCCTTGTGGGGCGGACGCCACTTCCAGGTATGGACACTCGACAGATATTTATAAACTTCAACTAGGTCACCCCACGCCCGTCTATAGTATAAGCTAGATAGTTGTGATTAATTTTAATTTTGTATTCAGTATCAGTGGTTACAATCGCAATAAAAAAAATACACTATCTTTTATACCAATGCAGCGTTTCATACCATAAGAAATTGTCAACAAAAGCGCAGATGGGAGTGGTGCTATCGTACCTCTCTTATGTACAGGACCCTGTTTGGGTCCGGCCTTGAATCTAGAGCAATGTATGTTATTTAGAATGCTAGAAGCCTGGTCCACCAATGGTAGTGGTAATACAATGGGATAGGCATACTTCTATCATCTTCGCCACTGATATTAAACTATGAATTAACACAGTTCAGCAGGATAGCCGACAGTGTTCAATTTGGTTGCGTAACTGATCGCCAGTAAATTTTCCTAGATACTGATCATACTGTACAAATGAGAAAATAAAATTACAAACATATTGTGTATCATGCCTAAACATCAATATCAAAGGGCAGTAGTTGACCTTGAACCACATGAATTTAAGCTGGTTGAGGATGTGTTACATTAGGGATTTTTCAATGCTCCACACTGTGACCACATGTCACAAAAAAAATAATCAGCGCGTCAAAATATATACATAATGTTTACGAGGAAACAAAATCTCAAAAATCACAAAGAAAATGTATAAATTAGATATCTATTCATCATTATGGCTGTTCTAAATAATATGGAAATATGCGTTGCATTTTTTAACTTTATCACAAGGCTAACTAGAACAGAGTACTGTAAAACACCTTGAACCAGACAGCCAATGGTAGGAGTGGGAAATTGGGGACAAATTGATAATATAACTTCTACCGCTCCGCTCCGCCTCCCGCCTGGCACTGACCCTGACACACTGACAGTGCAGTGTGAGCGAGACAGTGAGACAAAGAAGACATGCAACGAGGTGCTCCTCTTGTAACTGAACAAAATACTGTGGTGGTGTAAAGCAAGTGCTACTCTGTATCTACCGTACCCACGAAAGTGTTACGTAAGTGTTCCTTTTCCTCCTTTCTCTCCAACCTTACTCATGAAACTGTGGTACTCAAGTTCTCTCTTTTTTTCTCATCTTACATCTTAACTGACCCAGATTTATTTAACATCCTGGCCTCCTGGAGCCAGTACCTGCAAGTATCAATGTGTAACAGATGTGATCAACTTTTAAATACAGCAATGTTCTTTTATCACAACTAAAATAATAGCCTGTTAAAAAAAAAATTACAATGCATTGGTTGGAGGTGCTGGTGGTAGAGTGGTACCGCTCTTGCCTTCGCAAGCCAGATGTCACGGGTTCGATTCCCGGGCCGGTGGAAGTTGTTTGGACATATTTCTTTGCCCCCATTAGTCCCTGTTCACCTAGCAGTAAAGTAGGTACCTGGTGTAAATCGAAAGTTGCGAATTCGTATTCAGGGACAAGTTGTTGGAGCTTCCAATAACTTGATGACATAAACCACTGACTCTTCAGGCTTCTATGCCCTTGACTCTTCAGGCTTCTACGCCCTTAACTCATGAGCCATAAAGGCAAGCACGAACTTAGCACGCACGCTTTTTTAATGTTATGCATATATTAATTCATTGTCACGGCTGCTTCAAGGTTACATAGCGCCAAAGTGTGTGCCGGGGGGTGGTACGATGTCTTCTGGAGCGTCCTCTTTTTTGAATGTTCAGATATGGCAACCCTAAATTGTGATGAAGTCCCAGGTTGCTCAACTGACTTTCTGCCTCATTTACACACAAGTACTCTGACAACGCAGCATACATACTGTATTTATTTGTAGTTATTATTATTATTTTTAATGTATTATTTTTATTTTTAGTACAGGTATTTTGTAATTTTTTTTAATTATTATAATAATAATAATAATAATAATAATAATTATTATTATTATTATTGTCATTATCAGTATCATATTTTCGCCCCCCAGGCCCTGATGTGGGTCAGAGACCTGTGCCCGGGTGGGCTAATCCCCGTAGGAAGTATATCCATTTCATGTTTATGTCCGGGAGTCATTATCTGGTAACGTCAATATAATAATCTAATAATGTTCCCATGCCATTCAGTTAACTAATGAATAGCTGTACTTAGAATTGTTGTTTAGAAGACTCCACCTAAGAACATGTTAAATAACTGTTGGGCTACGCTACCAACTTTCCTCACTTTGCAACCCCTTCTACTATAACTTTCACTATATCTTCATAATGGTGCCAATGGTATCCATTACTATGGTGTCAGAGAACCCATTGCAGTGGTGCTAAAAGCAGTCATTACATATTGAAGTGGCATATAATACTGACGCAATGATAGGCTGAAATTAAATTGCCTAATAAGCCCATTTAATAACCAACGTAACCCGTTACTCATCACTCTTTATTAATATAACAACTTTATATAACCTCTTACTTACTGTATATCTTATCAGATCTTATCATTAGCATCTTATCTGAAGCATGTTTAGCTCATGGGTAGTTCGAATCGAGTCATAGTGCGGGGTGAAACCGTACGGCTGGTCGCTAACCATGAGTATGTAGTACACCCGTATCATATTGTATCACGCCTTAAGGGTGCCGAATAAATTTTTAGTGGGTGTAGCGCAGAAGCGTTTTCAGTGTCCAACTGGGAAGCATGCGGAGTTCATGCTTGCCTATATGACTCCTGCATTAAGGGCGTGGAAGCGTGAGATAACCCCTATCGGCTGGCCGGGTACCTTATCTCTACCTAAACAAACATTTGGGATGGATTGTGCGGGAGGCCCAGCGCAACCCATGACACCCATGTACCCCAGACGCGCCTCCATTGGCCGAAGCAGTCTACTCGCTGTCATTGGCGCAGCTGGGAGGTGTGATGCGCACTTGTCATGGGCTGCTGTGTGAGTTAAAGGGATGGGGTATGGTGGGGTGGGACTTGCGGCCTTGTTTGATGAATGTGCGTTGAACAAGGTCCTTTTAGGTACACAAACCAAAGTATTTCAGTTCTATTTTCGACCCTGAGAGAGTAACACAAGGCTGCAAATCCAAGCTCCACAAGACAGAACTCAACTTATACGTTGATACCAATAACTCCATTTCCCCTGTGGTGGCGCTTGCTGCCTTGTGCTTCTGAGGCCCTCAAATCTTGAATGTGATCATGACATCAAGGAATTTTGCTCTCTCGGCTTGTGTAGTAAGATTCACCCAGTCAGCCGTTTTCGTGATTAAAATCTATCATGATTATTGATATGTATTGTGTGTGTGTGTGTGTCAATTTCTCACATGGACCTCTTTTATAGGTGATATTAATATTAGTATAAACTATTTTGTGAAAGCTATTGCTTCTTCAAATTTGGAGCAAATAAGCCCACTAAGGAATTAGGGTCATAAAATCTTAGAAACTGTAAAAGGATGGGTAGCTGTTGCCAACTACTCTTGTCCAGTATACTCTTTTATTTTCCACTCAGACCATTGGAACCAACATGAAGGTGTTTGTGGGTACCTTCGTCCACTCCACAGCTAATACTCCAATGGTCATACTCACTGACACTGCCCTCGGCATTGTCAACACTAAGGTAAATAACTTTCTTTTTGATAACCTTATCTATTTTAGCTGTTCTAAGTGATGACCTTAGCCATCTTAACTATGATTGGTGAAGACCTTAGCCACCTTAATAAATGTTCATACTGATAACCTTACTTTCAGTGGCGTAGCTAGAGTGTGTGCCGCCTGGGGCCTTGAGTTTGACACCCCGTGCCCCCACAAAAAATACATATTGCACAGTGACTCACTCTTATATATATATATATATATATATATATATATATATATATATATATATTAAATAGTTTGTGTACCATTATAATATTACTGTACTTTCACATACTCAAATATAGTATGCTTTAAATACACCCCAAACATACTTAAACTTTATAAGTAACAGTTAAACAAAAAGCAAAAACGACATATAGGATAGGGAAAAAAGTAAAAAAGTGTAAAAAATTAGGACCATCTTTATTTCTGAAATGAAAACTACAACTTTCTACAAAGTAATTTTTCTTGAAAGGATTTCCTTCCACTTTTTCACTTGGCTTTCAACAACTTGTTCTTTTTTATCAATTGTTGCTCCACGAGCAATCCTAATTTCCAACTCCTTCCATTGTGTGAAATTCCGAACGCGAGCTGCACTGGATTCGTGCTCGGATATTCTAGGATTCAGTTTCCACTGTTACGAGTTGGGGATTTAGAATATAGTTAAAAGTCTACCCAGATCCCAACAGGCAACAAAAAAAAAAAACAAAGACAATCGGACTATAAAAGGGTAGACAAAGGATGCGAGTTTTCGTTGTGTATAATAAAGTACCATAAATCCCTAAACAAAATATTCAGCTTATAAATTACCCTTAACCAAACTTAACCTAAACATTAACAGTATATACATATTAATACAACATAAACCATTTTGAAGCAAGTGGGCGTGGGGGAGGCAATACAAGATAAAAGTACTTAAGTGAGGAGCTGAGATGGCTGACGAGTAAGGCTGAGTATTGTAGAAGACGGTAGGTAGTCACTGTCCGTAGGTTTAGAGGATAGATGATCCTGTGGTCACTTCCCAGAGCCAAGTCCTCTCTCCTCGAATTGGAGCTGACAAAGAAGACTTTGAGGAGGTGACGCAACAACCAAGATATGGAGAAGGGAAACCCGGGAGTGGTAACTAAGATGAGTCATACTCGTGTCTCGTCCCTAGATGGCGTTGCTCGTGGTGCTGGGTGGAGGGGTTCGTAACACCACCATATGTTGAATCCATCCTCAGAATTAAATTTTGAGTTACTTCTGTCTGAAAACAGTTTGCAACAAAAGCAGTAAAAAGCTTCCTTGGAAGGGGAGTACACCCCTACTTTGATCGGGGTGGCTTTTGTCTGACAACCCTAACCTAACTTAACCTAACCCTAACCTAACCAATAATTAACCACAGAGAAGAACAGTATATTTTACCCTCAACTATTTAATTATGTCCGTAACTTTTGAAAGCCCTTACTGTTGTCAGACAAAAGCCACCCCGATCAAAGTAGGGGGCTTTTGTCTGGGTGGCTTTCGTCTGGGGGGCTTTTGTCTGGGTGGCTTTTGTCGGGGAGGCTTTTATCTGTACCCCAGTGAGGATAGTGTCTTAGTATAAAATCGCAATGCTGTGAAACAAAATCTTAATATTTAATCTCAGTACCGCAGCAAAAGTCACATCAATATTTTTTAACCAATACTTTAATATTTCTTACCTTATAGTATTATGTCTTCCAACGAAGTAAATAACTGGATTGAAAACACAAGAGAACTTAAAAGTCGTCTAGCCTCCCCTCGTCTTGTCACGATGGAGACTTGTGCAGAACTGAAGTGAATTGCTTGTAACTGGTGGATTGGTCCGCTGTACATGAACTGATATGACCCGAGACTGCATGGTTTTGCAGCTACTGGAGACGTTAATCCATCCCTTTGTATCGGCGGCAAGTTAATCCTCGTCGTGTCTGACCTAACACCTGACCCACACCACATGAGCTCACTGGCGTACTTGTTTGAAGTTGTTTCCTTAATCCTCAACAGGTTACAGGTTGTGTGTGTGGCGGGGGGCGCATAGCAAGGGTGTAGCTCATGACGTGGCCGTGATGATGTGGGTCAGGTGTTAGGTCAGACACGACAAGGATTAACTTGCCGCCGATACAAAGGGATGGATTAACGTCTCCAGTAGCTGCAGATATGGTTGATGAGCAGACCCAAAAGTGCCGACCCCCAAAAGTGCCGCCCGGGGCGGACCGCCCCCCCCCCCCTAGCTACGCTAGTGCTTACTTTATCTTCTTCAGCTCTAAGCCACTGATTGCTCTGTTAGCCACTTGTGCTGAAGAGGATAAATATAACTGAACTTAAACACACACTAGCTTCTCTAAAGTTAGGTAAGCTGGGTGGATTAGGTGGTGCCCCGGGATCGAATTAGTGCCCCTTAGGACGGGAGGCGAGCATTGTATCCATTCGGCCATCGTACCCACAAAACTTAGTGATGGACGTAGGTGGTGTTTGATCTGTTAACCAACCAAATACGACACACTTCAACTGACCTACATTCTCTGTATGCAACAGAGAAATGAAGTGCATATTTCTGGTTCATTTTGTGTGTGAAAGCCAGACAGTTTCATCAGAAGTTTAAAATAAACGCATCCATTAATAGGTAATGATGATGTAGCAGCGACACACACGGTACTGAACAACACGGTCAATACGCATAACTCAAGTCAAGGTCAACGTATTACCATATTACAGAAAACGGAACCTCTCCGCGCTCGTGACGTCACTAGCACGCCCAGCACTTACGCAGTGTTTGGGTGTCCATCACAAATTAGAAATAGGGATAATATAACTATCCATCGCTTTCCGAGAGATAAAGAACTGAAAAGAAGATGGATTCACTTGTGCTAGAGGAAAGACTAGAAATTTTGAAAATGCCCAAATATGCAGCTTACAAATGAGTCCAGAACTTGAAATATAAACTGCTTGGACTGACAGTACCAAGAACCTTTGTAAGGATTGAGAATGGAGCAATACTAACATTACAACTGTCATGTGCAAAAGGTAATCTTATATTATTTCGGCTACAACAATAATAGGAGTAGGTTTCGATTAGGTTGGTGGGTAGGGTCCGACTAATTCCCTCGGTACATGCACGCGATCTATTAACTCAGATTAAAGTAAGTTTTCCAATTTTTTGTGACTTCATGAAACCAAATACTAGTCGACAAGTGATTGGCAGTCCGATTTATTTGTGTAGGACCATTATTTGACTTCATTGCAGCTACATTTGGGTAATTAGTCGGACCCGTCCCCTACAAGCATCGAACCTTCTCGAATCCCCAGCCTACGCCTCCAGCGCCGCCCACGGAGCGGGGGTCAACTATCTACCCACGCCTACCCCTGCCTTATAAGACCTGACACCGCTGTGACCACCCTCTTTCTACTCAGTGCCACCAGCAAGCAACACCTCCTCCTCCGCGCCAGCCTGGAGGCTGCCGCTCCCGCCGGCGACCTTGGCGTCCCTCAAGCCACGTGTCCCTCCTCTGGGCACCCTCACCATCCAGCTCTCTCTACTCAACGCTTATTACCATGCTACCTACCCAGCATAAAGCTGCATTGTACATCCAATACAATATGTGTACAGTGAGCACATTGTGAGTTTCCTTTCTCCATCCCATCCTGAGCGTGAACCAATATCTCATACCCCCACAAGCAGACCTTATTTTATAGACCTTGCCTATAACCTCATACCTTACAATAAAACTCAATAACACTATTTTTATTTTTCAGTTATATACTATCGATGCATTTATTGGTGTATCTTTATTTTTATTAGCTACGTACAATTAATACCTAAAAGCTATTTTTTTATGCAAAAATCCAATATGGGTTCCACAATGTTCAGAAATCCAGGCATTACATGTTGTCAAGGTGTTTAGATCTTTTAAATTGTATTTTTTAAACAATTATTCCAATGGTCTAAATTTTTCAGAAGTAACTAATAATTCTTCAGGATACAATACAAATTTCTATTATATTTCACTGGTTAAATTCAAAGGATACTGTTTTATGGAATTGTGCTCATGTCTGCAATAACATTAACTTCTGCTAAATAATACAGTACAGTGTATTTTTTTCGTGTCTAGTACTATCCTTAATAACTGTACCATTGCTAAATGCATAATATTCATGCAGTATTTGGTGTTGCCATACACTGGTTTTTCCCCATTTCAAGAGGTGTTTAACTAATGAGCCAGGGTAGTGTGGTTGAAGATCATGGAGATTAAGGGAATCAGGATATTCAGTTATATCATGTTTGTAATTAAAGGATATTGATTACAGATAGCATTTATAGAAGCAGCGGAGAAGTTGGAGCAGCTCAAGATAGACTATGGGTTCACAGACTCTTGCATTATATACCTAACACAGAGGTATGTGATGACTGTATACTGTATGAAAATTTTATGTTACTTCTCCATTTTTAACACTGAATATAGTTTGCCCAATTTGAGGCTGGTGAGCGCAGTCAAATAAATAATAAGTACAAGAAGATTGGGATCTTCACCTCGTTCGAGCAACTTGCTTTTGTATTGTGCAAGAGAGCAGATAGCCACACATCATATACTCCACTGCATCCTGTTGTGTCTAAACACCAGTGTTTGCAAAGGTTCTAAATTGCCCAATGCCCATGACACTAGTCAGTTACCAAAATTTCAGATTTCACCAGACAAAAATTTACTACAAACTGTGTAATAAAAATAACTGTGCTATTTTTACTGATATATAGGGCACGCATATTTCTGACAATTAACTGACAAATGTTGTTTAGTTACATAACAGTATTAATCAGTTAGAGCTATGTTTTTCAAATATACATTTTTGATTAGCTAAGTAATTTGGCACCCCTGGGCCATGATTAACCAATTTTGCACCTTTAAACAACCTTGATCTACCATTTATTTTGAAAGAAATTAAAAAAAAATTAATTTGCTGCAGTGTACAGTAGAAACAACAATTAAAATTAATTACCTAGTAGGCTGCACTAAACAATTACTGCAGTACAACAGGTCTATTTAAGTAAAATCTGCTTTGATATTCAGTACAGTAGTACTCATAACTTGAGTCGTCTCAAACCATCCAACGAATAGATTTCGTTTTCTTTTGTAATGCAGTATACCAAGTGTCTATTTTCATTTGATTATTAATTATTTTCATGTATTTTCTATATATTTTGTGCATTTTGTAGAATTATATTGATTAAAATAAAAATAAATTTTGCGTGAGATTTGGAAACCTTAAGACACGAATCTGGTAAACTTTGTTTTTTCATGAGTGGCATCACTGACAATGACCCTCCATCCAGTAAGGGTGGGGCTTACTTTGCTCCTCCACCTTTACTGTATCAAGAACTTCTCTCCAGGAATGTACAGTCGGAGTCAAAAGTCTTGAGCACTTGACAGTATTTGGCATGTAAGTACCCGAAGATCTTCGGTATTAAGGAGAGTTTTATCCCATTTTGTGGCTCAGGCATACTATGTGATGACAAGTAGTGTTATTAGTATATCCCAATCATATACTGTATGTATAACTCAGAAGTAAATGCCAGAAATTGCTAAGTATTCAAGACTTTTAACCCCGTCTGTACCTGTACTGTAATTATATTTTTATTTTCTTCTTTCAGCCATCAAAAACATTCATATATGTCACCACAACCATGCCAAAAAGAGTGAAAGAGGGCCATCAGAATGCATCATTTAACTTTATTAAAAAACAAACAAATGTGGGTATGCCCCCAGACACCCATATTACAGGTGTGTGCATTTGGCCCACACACATTTCATATGTACTACAGTACCTGTACAATTCCTTGCCTCCTCTGTCTTTGCAGCCTATGATGAGTTCTTCTGCATTAACAAATTTGTTTAGCCTTCAGTACAAGTTACAGTACTTGCCTCATGATAGACATTTCAAGTACATATATAGTAAGTGTGTATCTTTTCAGCCAGTTCATGATGCCCGGAATGGTGGACACACACATACATGCTTCTCAATTATCTAACAATGGACTTAAGTTAGACCTACCATTGTTGGAATGGCTGGAATCCTACACCTTCCCTACAGAGGCTATGTTTTCTGATTTGAAGGTGGCACAAGATATTTATCCCAAAGTAGTGGTTAGTTTTGGTCATGTTTCAAGTTGTGAAATACATGTGCAGTAAATAAGGTGCATGCATTTTGATGTGGTATGTAATATATGGGTTCTGCAGGAACGGTTGTTACGGAATGGCACAACAACTGCTTCCTACTATTCTACTCTTCACCTGGAGGCATCTAAGTTTTTTGCTGGACTGGTGCACACTAAGGGTCAACGTGCCCTGATTGGTAAAGTCAACATGATGGTCAACTGCCCTGCATATTATTGTGAGGACAGTCTTGAAGAGTCACTCAAAGACACAGAGGATTTTATCCAGTATGTTTATAACATGCAGGTAAGACTATCATAAAAAAGTGGCATCTTAAACTGGTGCCACAATAGATAGGTATAAATATTTTTTTTTAAATTACTGTGATTGTGTGTGACCCAACATTCATAAGATGATCAAAACTGTTGAGGAATAGTTTAATAGCAATATATTAAGACTTGAGGTTTCAGTGATGACTAGCAAAAAAAGCAATTGGCAGCACAGTACTGTCTGAAGCAACCTTGGAGACATACTGAACATTAGGTAAATTGATCAGGCAAAAGTATTTTTTATAATACAGTACAGCCTGATATCTTGAAGACTTTTAAACTTGTGAGACTGTTAGTAATACTTGAACTGGCTGTGTATAATTGAGGAAATTTGGGAAAAATCTTGTGCATTAACTATACACTATTTTAAAGTTAACCTTTTCCCAATATATTGATTTTATACATAGCATTCAATGACTTTTTTGGTTTCGGTAATGATTCTAGCAAAAAAATGCTAATGTTCAGTACTAATTGTTAACTCTACCCTATTGATTCGTGGTGTTTGCTTTTTTATGAGCAGGATTTACAACATCCCTGAAACAAAAAGTAAGTACAGTACTGTATTAGTTGCTTTACATCCATCTTCATAATACTGTTACAGTATGTGCCCATTAACAAATAACCTTTATCTTATTCCAGTCACCACTGATACAGCCCATCATAACACCACGATTTGCCATCACTTGTCCAACAGATCAGCTGAAGGGACTTGCCAAACTTGCAAAAAAGTATAGTTGTCACATTCAAAGTCATTTGTGTGAAACAAAATCAGAAATTGAGTGGATTCAAGAGCTCTTCCCTTGGTCTAAATCTTGTACTGATGTTTATGACAGTACAGGACTCCTTGGAGAAAAGGTGAGGGGTTTTATATACTTCTAATACAGTAAACGTACATCACAATGATGGATTGAATTAAGAAAAGCCATTTTATGACTGAGGGGAGGAAGCAATAGTGGCAGAGTGGGGGAAACCAAAGGGGGCCATGTCCCCTATAGCCCTTTCCTAGACACCTTGAAAACAAGATTTCTTCCCTCTTTTTTTATCTTAATTTCATTAAATGCATTTATACAATAATATATACTGTATTGTACACTCCTTGGTGCCTACCTCCTGCCTTGCTCACTATCATCATTGCCCTGTCTCGTATACATTACCACTCATTACTCTCCACCTCTTGCCTGATTTCATTTTCAGTGGCACCTTTGTTGAGTAAATGCTTTATTCATAAAGATTATTAATTTTCTTTATTTTGTATGGAAAATTAAAATATAACAGAAAAAAAAATGTGCTAAACTTTTGTTGGCTACATGGTCCATTCAGACTTTACCCACATTAGAAACTCTAATGGTCTAGCTCACTGGATTGTCATACATGATTGTGTTCATGCACATCTTGACCTAAATAATGTGTACCTAGACACCATTTGTTTTATTTTTATAATACTCCAAAATATACCCTCATTATGAGTGCAAGTGGCTCTGTTAGTGGTAGAGTGCTTAAACAAGTGGTGGTGTTAGTGGTAGAATGCCAAAACAAGTGGTGCTGTTAGTGGTAGAAAGCCTAAATAAGTGGTATAACTAATATTAGTGGAGGAAGGCTTAAACAAATCATGGTGCCAGTGGTAGAAAGCTTAAACAATTGGTGGTATTAGTGGTAAAAGGCCAAAACAAGTGGGAAAGTCTACCCCTGACTTACTCTAAGCATCAGACGAGCCACCCATCCATTCCTTACACCTTGGCCTTATATAATTTTATGTTTGTAATATGTTGTTACCTTATTTCAATTTAATTTTTTTTCATGTTTAGCAAAACTGATGCTACATGGTACTGTAAAAGTTCATATATTTATACAATATTTAAAATAACCCTAAAGATTATATATAATGCCCTGCAAAAACCTGTTTGAAAAATCTATAAATTAACAAATTCCATATCCCCTTGCCATAATTAATCTGATTTAACTTGGATTCATTGGGGTGTTTCAAAGCAGGACATGAAATAAATTACAGTAACAAGATTGGGAGAATCAGCTCATACTTGATGATTTTTTTGGGGGGGCACTACTCGGTTAGGGTTCATGATAATTCCCAGACAATTTTTATGGCTCAGTTCCTCAACCATTTCTAAAAAACATAGATATCCCGAATAAAATCCAATAGAAGTAGCAAAATATTATTTACCTATGTACAGAACTACATGTTCAATTAAATTTGACTTATGCCCTAGAATTAGCCAAGGCTATGCTGAACTGAAATACACTTTCAATTTGTATTGAGAGTCCAAGTTATTTGAGTCACTAAAACCCAATGTTCTAAGGAATACATTAGTCCCACTTATTGGTCACCATCCATATTGAACTTCCTGTAAAAACCAAGTGCAAACACTGGGCATAAATCAATCCACTGTGAGCAGGAAGGACAGGTTTTCTCACCTTGGAATAGTGACTTTTACTTTACTTTTTACTTTTATCCTCTTCACCACTGATCGGCTCATTAGCCGCTTGGGCGATTGGCCACGTCTATGTTACATACTTTTGACAAGTACTGGGCATCCACTGGCTCCTGAATGTATCTGAACCTGCTCCAGTGCTTGTCAAGCCTGGTCTTGAAAGAGCTCTTTTTTATGACATTGAGGATTCTAAAGCATTTTACTCCCTGACCTCTCAGAGTTTGCTTGTTTGAATATATTCACTTATTCTTGCACAACATATTTAGTATTAAAAATTGTAAATGAAAAAAAATCTGCAGACAATCATGGCCCACTGTGTTTGGATGAAAGGGACGGAGTTGGAGCGGCTGAAGGAGTGCAACGTTGGGGTGGCACACTGCCCCAATTCCAACACATCCTTATGCTCTGGACTCTGTGATGTTAGAAAGCTCCTTCAACAAGGAATTAAAGTCGGACTTGGAACAGGTGCATACTAATATTTGTATTTGGTAATGTAAGGTATAACCGTTTGTTGCGTTCATATTAGGACTAGAAGCAAATATGTAACCCTGGACGTGATGCACCTTGGTGTTGTCAGGTATATTAACAGGTGCATTTACAGTATCATCTTCAATAAGGCAAGCATGAAGTTTGGCATATGTAATGTGATGAGTGATTATCTGTACTGTCCTCAGCTCAACAGGGAGCTCCAGAGAATATTGCCATAAAAATGTATATTAATTATGGTATATGAAGTTTCATTTTGTTGTCTTTGTTGCTAAAAACATAATTTGTTGACAGCCAGTAAAAATGAGTAGTGATGCTTTTCAGTCTCACTTGGGAATTGTCTGAATTGCTTTAATGTAATTTCTGGCAAAAGTGTTCTATCTCTATGTGAAATGCTCCATCATCTTGCCTTGGTTAATGTTAAAATTCTTGTCACCACCAGTGTCTGTAACTATATGGAAGATGTTTAACACTTGTTCTCTTGTGCAGTAGAGAAGGAATGCTAATTTCAGCTAGTAGTGTTGATAGAAGCTTAGTGGTGAGTTGTTTTAGCATTGCAAATTTATTCTTCTCTACAGTATTCTAGAGGGCACCTTTTGTCTTCTAAGGGGGAAGTTTCATATAGCAGTCAACTTCCACAGACTCAACAAAGGATACTGACTTTGTCAGATGTTTTCATTCACCATACCCTATCTCATTTGATGTGCTTCATGCTATTTCCATCTTGAGCTGTTTACACTGATTGCCCACTTCTTTTACCAGGAACCATAACTTTCCTTAGTCTTTTTGACCCATGAAGAATAACTGCAGTTTGCCTAACAAACATTGATTTACTGTGTTCTATAGATCAGTTTCGTATTTAAATGAAGACATAAGGTAGGTCTTATAATCAGTAGAGTTGTTAGCATTTTGTGATTGATTAATTAACATATTGGCAGTAATAATGCTTTTATAATCATTTAATCTTACCACAGGTACTGTAATTGCCTGCACAGTCACCAACAAAAATCTGGTAACCTCTTCTGCTGTTTCACATACCTGTACCTCAAGTTTCAGATTCGTGAGCCCGAAGCAGTAGGCACTGGTGCATTATTCTGTCCAACAGTGGTTTTGAACATCAGCCAAAACCTTTTTTTTTTTTTTAAAGGGGTACATAATAATGCATGCAAATAAGTTGAAGATTATTTTGTGATGCTTTCAGGGAAAATGAAGAAATGCTGCCTTAGTATAGTTTAGTGAAGCTCAAGTGTTGGCAAGAATTAAGCATTTTTAATGACCCAGTATCTGGCTGAATAGCAAAATCTGATATTCAACGCACCCCTACTCGGTACCAGAAAATAGCTTGGAGGATTTTTGCATATCACTCAAAAATGTCAATTTGAATTCATACCATTGTTGGGCACACAGCACATTTTAGGAAGGTCAAAAGCAGATTTTTTATTTCCCCATTTATCAGTGTTTATAGCACACAGCAATTTTCAGTGTATCCCTGCACAACTTAATTTAACAATATTAAACACAAAAATTACTGATTAGCCTACAACAGTTTGTATATTCAATTGATAACTATCAAAAAAGATTTTTCACATCATTATACTTTTAACATATACATATTGCACATTGAAATACTTTATTACTGTAAAGTTTTTTAATAATGATAAAACAAATTCCATAATTCCCATAAATATTTCATTAAATATTCTCAACTATCGACAGATTGTTCAGGCGGCTACAGCCCATCTATCTTAGATTCCCTCCGGAGAGCGCTAGATGTGTCTAGGACTCTGAACATGCAGCATCAAGACAATCATTTCCTCACACTGCCGGAAGCTTTCCGTCTGGCTACACTAGGAGGTGCTCAAGGTATGTGCCAATTATGAACATCAAATAATGAAAAATCATTATACGAATGTCAATACTATACCATACTGTAAATAATCATGCTCACTGTAATTTATACCATAATACTGTACAGTATTAAGTTAATACATGAAAGTGGATGTGTAAAAAAAGACCTGGGAAGATATTGGAAGCATAATGTGTTGTCTAATGGTAGACCCTGCTGCCATATGGCATCACAAAAATTTTGACCAAGTCCCAGGTTACTGATCTGACATTCCGCCTCATTTACATACAATTGAAGGGTCTCGGTTGTTTCTCTTACTTTGACAACACAAGTTACATATATCGTTTCTCACTCTTGTTTTTTCATTGTTGTATTTATTTAGGGTTAATATTATTATTTATGTATTATTGTTATATTTTTGGTATTTAAAAAAAAATATTAGTACTATTATTTAATTTAGTTATTTTTTCTGAATTTTTTTATTTATTTCTATTACTTATTTCAGTATTAATATTATTTTTATTATTATTATTATTACGTATTATTATTATTTTTATAATATTTTCGCCCCAGACCCTGATGTGGGCTAAACAACAAAAACATGAATTAATAACAGTTGGCAAATGGCCATGAGAGGCCCGAGGGACAGAAGCATAAGCTCTACAATTGTATTATATACTGTGTGAGTGTGTGCGTGTTTTTTTTTACACAGGCCGCAGGCCTCTTTACCTCGGGTAAATAAGGTAAAGTATCTTATGTTAAAAAACAAACAGAAGAAACATAACTACAGATCCATCTAACGAAGCCATAGTGTACAACCAAGATAACATTCCTGCAACACTGAAGCCATGTCATGGTGTTGTATAATAATATGTAGTTCTGTACCTGTTTTGGAAGTGTAATGAAAATAATGCCACAGTTGAAATTATAATACAGTAGTGTATGTTACTTCTTTTACAGTTGTTCAAATGGATGATCAAATTGGAAATTTTATGGCTGGTAAGGAGTTTGATGCACTTTTGATTGACCTTGAAGTTCCCAGGTCACCACTGGATATCTTTGCTAAGGTAATGAAAAGCCTGACTGTATTCCTCCATCATCATCATCACTTGCATGTGTTTGCCATGATTATCTGATGGCTGCTTTCCAGGCTGCACAGTCTCTTGCAACTTCTCTTAACTCTCTAGGGTCATTTCTCACAATCTCTCCTCCCTGTCATTTTCATACACATGCACCTCTTGACTCAGTTGGTCTCCATTCACTCTTCATTCTCAAATCATTTCAGGTTATCTCTACACAAAAGCTTGCTCATGCCTTCAATACACAACTGCCCTCTTAACTCTAAACAGGGTTTCTTATATCTCAAAGACACATTAAATTTCAGTCTCATCATACTCCTTTCAGCTTGGTCAAGTGTCTGTACCAGCATATACACCTGTCGGTCAGTTCATCGGAGTCAATCATGGAGTGCACGTCTAGTCTATCGTGCAAGCCTTTACCACTTGTTTTTCCATCAGTGCCCAGTGTTTGAGCCATTATATCTGATGACCATAAATCTGGTACTGTACTGTACTGTACTGTACTGTACTGTACTGTACTGTACTGTTCTGTTCTGTTCTGTTCTGTTCCGTTCCGTTCCGTTCCGTTCCGTTCCGTTCCGTTCCGTTCCGTTCCGTTCCGTTCCGTTCCGTTCTGTTCTGTTCTGTTCTGTTCTGTTCTGTTCTGTTCTGTTCTGTTCTGTTCTGTTCTGTTCTGTTCTGTTCTGTTCTGTTCTGTTCTGTTCTGTTCTGTTCTGTTCTGTTCTTAGAAACTTTTAAATTTTGATTGGGGCAGATAAAGAAAAGTACCATTGTTTTGTTTGTTTTCCCTCGGGAGAAGGTGTCCATCATAATTCGTAAAATCTCATAATTCGTAAGGACTAGAGCCCCTATTATTTGAATTATGGGGGTTTTACTATCACTTTGGTTCCTTATTTTACCCCTCTCAATCCTTTCATATTACAGAAACATGAGTAACTGAAATATACATTTAACTGTGAAGTTGAAATTGTAAAGTCAGTTGTAGGAGTTACTCCCACCTTCCTCCTGTAGCAAAGACAATTATTTTTGAAAAACCACTAAATAGCATGCTCGTACTTTTCTATGCCTTGTATGTAATAAGCTGCTACAATATTTTCTCCATTGCAGGATACCATAGAAGACAAGATTCAAAAGTTCTTGTACAATGGTGATGACCGCAACATCATCCAGGTGCATGTGGCTGGACGGTGTGTCATCAACCAGCAGAACCACTGACCCAGAGAACATAGTTGTTTATGAAATAAAAACCTCTGTATTATAAAAAATGGTGGCCTTTATACTACAGGTTGAAGATAAAGAGACCCTTACACTTGACTAGGAGTCCAGGAACTTGAGACAAAAATTAAGGCAACCCAGAAATAATTGGATAAAAACTGAATACTGTATTGGGTCAAATGTAAAGTTAGGTATCCAAAACAATGTAATAAAAGTCCCATCTGATCATCCCCATGAGAGGTGTCTTTTCTAGAGCGACGAGCACTGTCAAGCTCGAACTGTGTGATGGGATGATCAGTGGGGGCAGGGGAGGTAAGAGCAGCACGAACAACAGGCTCAGACGCATCGATGTGAGCCTGCACTGCCTCCTGCATTGGATCTGGAAGTGCCTCAGGGGAGGAAGCTCGTGCCCAGTCCTCCATTAAAGAGCAGGCAAGGGAGGCGGGGTCAGGGTGGGGAGGATATTAATATTCATAAAAAAAAAAAAAAATAAATTGAATTCTTGATTGATCTCTTTCTTTGGGAATTTAGATAATGTAACAAAAAAAAAGATTGATTTTTTTTTTTTTTTTTAAAGATAGAGCTACCCAAAGCTAACCAATTGTCTACCTCTCAAGTTCAGACTTACACAGTATTACCTTGTCAGAATAACAAAGAATACGGAATATTCTCAAAATCTAATGGTAATATTCACCACATTGTGCAGGGGAGGGTCCTGGGGTACTGGACCCCCTTTTTCATTAGAAAATTCCTATACATTTTCTTCAATGCAGTATTGTACTCAGCATTTTTTTATAATAAAATGTAATTACTATTGACCTCAGAATATCTCCTAATATCAAGTGCACATGGCTTTAAAATGCCCATGATATTGGTCAGATTTCAAAACAATTTCTGGGGGGCTTAGAGTGCCTCCTAAACCCCCCCAGCTGGGTGGTTCTGCTGTGGCTGTTCATAAGACCTTACTGAGAGCTCAAGACCTGACATTCACCTCTATAAAACCTCCAACTGTAATGATTCTTGTAACACTGCTGAGGAGGACTGTAGGTTATGATCGAAATACAGTGTACTTCAGTGTCATTTTGAGTAATATTGTCAATACTTAGCCTGTAACAGGATGACCGACACACACACACACACTGACCCTTGCCCCTGGTGCACACACACACTGACCCTTGTCCATGGTGTATACACACATTGACCCTTGCCCCTGGTGCACATGCACACTGACAATCGGACTGACCCTTGCCCCTGGTGCACACACACATAGACCCTTGTCCTTGGTGTACATACACATTGACCCTTGCCCCTGATGTACACAGTGACCCTTGTCCCTGGTTTACATACACTTAGACCCTTATCCCTAGTGTACATACACATCGACCCTTATTCCTGGTGTACATACACAGAGACCCTTGTCCCTGGTGTACATACACATTGACCCTTGTCCCTGGTGTACATACACACTGACCCTTGTCCCTGGTGTACACACAGTGAACCTTGTCCCTGTTGTACACACAGTGAACCTTGTCCCTGTTGTACACACAGTGACACTTGTCCCTGGTGCACACACACACAGTGACCCTTGCCCTGGTCGTACTCTACATCTGTAGTTCATCACAACCCTCCTTAACTATTTTCTATAATTTATTTACTATATCTTCTTAGAGAATTCTCTAGCAAGTTAAATGTATTTAGACCATTTCTACACATTACTTGAAAACAGTTACATTCAAAATGTTCACTTCATATGCTTGGCACTACTTATATGGTACAAATAAAATGTGACAAATGCACACTTTATATGTATATAAACAAATATTTAAAGTGATTACTCATGTAGTACAGTACAACCTTCCCTCGAGATGCAGAAGTTCGATTTAGTGATAAGTTTTGGGAAAAGTATCCCTTCAATAACTCGAAGGCTGCCTGGATCACTAAATTATACTACAGTACACTACTTCCAGGCTTACATATGCAGTTAAAAATTACAGTAAGCTGCTGTTTTCCAGGACCCATGCAAGTCTTATACCGGTGTTTCCAGGACCCATACAAGTCTTATACCGGTGTTTCCAGGACCCATACAAGTCTTATATCGGTGTTTCCAGGACCCATACAAGTCTTATGTTTCATAAAAATCGGCACAATTTATAATACATTCGCTAAAACATAGGTATTACCAAAACAGTGTGCGTGGTTAGGGTCAGCTGAATGTTTCGGTACAGTTTCCTGTATACTAAATAACATACTGAACACCTTATAACAACCATCAGTATGATTTTCAGTGTAAGTTTTTCCTCATTCCAAGTCTCTTGTTTTAACTTTGAGAATCAGTTGATTTTTAGAATGATTTTAATAATTAACTATTTATAAAAAAAAAATATTGTGACTGAAATAAAGGCAGAGTCCCTTGAAAAAAAAATTCACAAGGCAATCCTAATTTTGTAACTAGTTTCCTTGGTCGACAAAAAACGAAAATTTATCATTCAGTGTTCACACATCAACAACATACTGTATGTCCAAAATGATACTACCACACAACTCCTTATAAGTCTGGAAAGATAATTAATTACCACAGTCCTTTGGATCATTAAAGGTTTTTTAATTGAGTATTCCCTAGGAATATTTAATAAGGAAGCTCAATTGACACATTCCCATTATTTTCAGGTCCAAACATTTTATTGCAACACCACCTGTTACCGAGTTGGTGTACAACTTAGAGAGAATAGGGAAAACTAAAAATAAAAGATAGATAACTCGGAAAATGAGTCCGAAAGATTTCATAGAAAATGACTATAGTTTCACGAGTAACTATTGTTGTCATTGCAAGAACGATAGGATCGTTAGCACCATCCTGGCAGCGGCAGCAGAGAAGTCGTAGGGTTGAGATTCCTTTGTAAGACAACCCCGCCACGAAACCAAATCCAGCCCCAAAAAAAAAATACCCCTTCAGATCTCAGTGAACACACCATCAAAATATAAAGAACGGAAGGTAGGTTAGCTGTAGATTTGTTTGGAGAAAGGTGCAGGTAAAGTCTTGAGCCGATTTTTTTTTTTTTTGTGGATGCTATTTTCAGAATAAAAACAAGATTGTTTTTTCTATGATAGTTTCTTCGCATTTTACCCATAACCGAGATATCGTGGATTGAAAATCAGAAAACTACTTGAACAGCTATTATTGCATTTGTTGCCATCAACCGAATCTGGAGAATTTATCTTTACAAACAATAGTTTAGGCAATTCTAAGACACTTTTCCTCTATGACGTTTGCCTGAAAAATGACCTGGAACCGGAATATTTAATATGCCGGAGGGTTTGATTGGTTAAGATAACTTAATTAGCAATACACGGCGATAGCACCAACCAAACTTTCTAACTTCCAAACCGGGGAGGTTTACACACCTCAGACCCCTCGGCATATTAAATATCTTGGTTCCAGGCGTTTGCGAGGAAAATGTAATAGAAAAAGTTTTATAATAGTCTCCTCGAAACTATTGTTTGCGAAGATAAAATTGAACCATAAATAGATAGAGAAATGGAAAAATAAAACAAATCAAGAATGAGAAACGATATTTATATATGTTGTGTTGTCAAAGATAAACAGTTGAGACCCTGCAGTTGAGTGTAAATGATGCAAAAGTCAGTCAGATCATTAACTTGGGACTTGTTCACAATATTTGTGATGCTGAATGGCAGTAGGGTCTACCATAACACATTATGCTTCCTATCTCTTCCAAGGCGGCATTGATCCACAGCTAAAAAGAGACGTCGTAGCTCAAGTTACGACCAAATCTGGGATATGGGACGTCCTAAATATTTTTGCGTATCCAGCACCCTGGCAAATAAATAACTTTTACTAGTAGAAGAACGACTGCATTGTTTTATTCTGTAAATGTTGTAATTGTGGCGCACCTCAAGATCACGAAGGTGGGCCACACCAGCGCAATCAGTAAACTTCCTTTTTTTTCGAGCGAAGACTCTACCTAGTGCTGCTAGACTATACAGCACGTTCCGCAAAAATGTTTGGTCTATATTACGATGGAAAAGCAGCATCAAAAGTTCACAGTTGCTAATGTAAAATGCATTTTGTAATGAAAGGCAAGGGAAACCATGTATACACTATATAGTTTATCATGTGGCCGAAACATTACCATCCTTTAGTTTCCCTTACCTTCAGATAGTAAATCAAAATGTAAAATATTTAGAAGAATAGACCCGAAAAATATATGATAAATACTGCCACGTCATATTTAGAATAGATAGAAAAATGCATCCATAATGTGAATAGATAACCGATCCCGATACTATACGTAGTGGCTAAATTAAAACCGAATAGCCAAAGAAACATCACACCGGGCAACGCAAAGTGATCCGGTCCCTTAAACAGCGAATATGCAATAGATTAAGTGTAATCACACGTTCAACACACCCGCCTGAATTTGTTGAGTTGCTTTGGGAGAGAAACTGTAATTACTGGCTAAAACTGGCCATGATTATGACGTAGCGACCTGTTAGATTATCATCTTTGCCTAAACTATTTAGCTTGTCGGATGTGACTGGAATATAAAGTAGCCCATCTTGTGGCTTCAACTTGAGTTAATATTTTTTTTCTTAACCCGTGGAGGCAAGTAGTCGAGCTGGTAAAGGTATGGTCAAACTCAATAATCCACATCTTAAACAAAATTCTTATGGTTAAGTTGGTATCTCTTTATCAGCTCGCTGCAATTTGTTTGTTGTTGTTTTTTTTGTTTGCACACCAATGTGTCTGAAATTTAGTCAGGGTATAATGATGCCATCTTACAATAATAATAATCAGGCACCGGGTGAACGGCACCCATTAAGTGGATAGTAGTCAGATTTTAAACATTAACTTCTCCCTTGTGCATCCTGTGATATTCCTCTCAGATTTATGAATCAATGCTTTCCTTTCACATATATTACGAAGTTATTAATATTGCAATGTTATATTGTATAGTGGAAGTAATTTTAATTTGTTTCTAGTTAATAAGTTTTATCGTCTATATGCGTGCATTCTGCCTTCATGAAATTAACCTCTGAATATTAATGTTAGACTCCTGACAGCACCAGCCACCCATCAGGCTCTCTTAAGGCTAAGCTGATATTCGTAAGTGAGAAAAACCGTAAGTCTGACAAATTATGGTGAGCTGTGTTGCCGGCTAGACCGACACCTTCCTCCCTTTTGCCTCCGTGTTTCCTATGTACACGAACACGCTCTGCAACTGACGGATTATTTACACTTAACAACATCACGAAATCTAACGAAAACTGTCATTGATAGAGGTAAAAAGTTTATAAGAAAATATGACCTTTTAAAATTTAAGAAAACTCATAATAATTAACCATATTTACCAAAGGTTAATGTAACCAAATAAGGATTACATGTCCATCAGGTTATACAAGAGAGCCTGTTCTTGTGCATCCTGGGAAACAAACAGCTTACGCATGTGGGCAGACCGGCTGGCCAGAAGTTGGGTTAGTCCAAAACGATGCATACCTGTACATGCTCACAATTAACCTCTGCTGGTTTACATACACTTTTCACATTTTCATATCATTTACACATACACACATTATTTATATATAGATTTCACATACAATGCGTGCTACAAACAACTCTTCGAAGCTGGCACTCCAATGTTTAAACGAAGGCAGAATGAATACCTTACCAACTGTCTGGTGCTGCCACAGGTGGGAAGGGTATAACGTACCGCCAATACACTATAATTCTACAATCTTGAATCACCTTGCTCAAGCACCTGTGCCACTTTTTGTGTCAGTTACCCTTCACTACGGCGTCATTCTCGACATTTTATCTGAGTTTTAACCTCACCTTACCCAGTATTTTACACACATAAACGTAAATAATGTTGTTCTTTTTACCAAGCTTGCTGTCACTTCCTTCAATGCCATAACTAAATTATCGTAGAGTAGGCTGTGTTCTCACACCCGAAGTGTTTATCTTTTTCGTGTTCCAGTGGCGGCTGTATTGTACCCAAAGAGTTATTTTGTTGCACTCCAGGCGTTATATTTTGTTTTTGTTTACACAGCGTTTGCCTCTTGTTATATAGGTCGCTGATCCGCTTCCTTGTGTTGTGGTGCTCGCTGGTAGGGGAAGTGAGAGAGGGGACCCGGGAAGAGATATGGGGGAGGTGGGGTGGGGGAGGTAGGTAAAAGGGGGGGGGTCTCAGTAAAACAATGAACCATCATATCTGAGCAACTTAATATGGCTTTGAGGACTTCATACAACCTCCCTCTCACTTCCCTTCCCCCGCCCTCTTCCTTCATCCCTCCTCCCTCCCCTTTACCTCCTCTCTTCCCTTTCCACCCTCCTTCTTTTCTTCCATCCTCACAGGCCTTTCCTTCCTCTTCCTCTTTCCTACCCTCTTCCCTCCTCCTTCTCTTCCCTCTCCTCCTTTCTCTCTTATTTTCCCTTTCTGGCACAAAAAAAAATGGTTATCCGAGTTAGCGTGGTAATAAGCCTCGACTGTAACCAGGACTGTTTCAGTCATGTCCAGTTTAAGGGAAAATTTTAACATACGAATCTCTGAGAATCTTTGTTTCGACAAGTGATAATTGTCAGTATGAATTAAGTATGCCTTAATACTTATATGGAAATACTTGTTCTTATTTAATAATTTTAAACATATCAAAATGACATCTAAGTACTTTCGTTCATGTAATCGGCCCTTAATATCGTCAAAATAAATACACCCTAAAGCTTTAATCTGGCTCCTTATCTCTTTAAGCCTTCATCAAAATAACCTTTTCTTAGATATTAGTTTTTTTTTCTCACTTAAAATCACAATCCAAGCGATCGTGCCTGAAAGAATTATCCTAAAAATATACCATTCGATATATTTACTGGCTTTGCTATGGTATGCTTGCAAAAGTAAAGAGTCTATAAAAGGCGACAACGCAACATGCAAACACCACTGAAATGAAGCAGTAAATTATGCGATATGGCAGCAGCGTAGAGAACCAGACATTATAAAAGGCCAGGTGAAAACTCAACGTGACCAGTAGCTCGCACGACCTGCAGGCAGAGGGGTGTTATATACTCAGATCACGTAGTTGATGAGTTATTTGATTTCTTTACTGCCTATGATTTACTGATCTGCTAAACTTAAGTTTCATTTTATCAAGTTTGGTAATTTACATTGTAGCTCGACAATTTGGAAAGTGTATTGACAAGCCAGGTTAAAACTGGTCTTTACGGACTCGTGTGTTATGAACAATATAAACCATGTTTTTCAAGTTGACCCCCCAAAATATTATTTCTTTAAAGTGTCGGTAAACCATATGAAAAATACAGTAAACGTATAGCTAAGTATTAGTCTTAAAATCAGAGCAGATTGTCTTTCAATTCAGAGCCTGATGGAACGCGTGTAAGACTTGGTGAAGAATATCAAACCCTGCCTACATATAAGAGTATCGTATCCAACCTTTAACAAGTAAGTCGGCCTTTATTTATACCTGTATGCTTTGTTTTATTTTATACTGGACTTGTCATAAACTACTTGTAATCTACTGTAGTTCGTTACTATTCATTTTGGTATACTAACATAAGATTCTTAATTTATTGTCTTAATTTTTACATCCATTGTGTCTTACAAACAGCGTCACAAAACACTTATAAAGGACCGCGTTAAAAAAATAGCCTTCTGCAACTAAAATTGAAACTAATGTTAAAAAAATTTACTAGCGTTTCAAAATACTTGGTAACTCTGCCATAGTGGGAAATAATTTTTTTTTTGACAGGAGATGTAAACATAAGTGATACATCTGCATGAATTACAATGACATTTAATATTCAGTGAAATCATCGCGGCATTAAATACGTTGCTCTTCACTGCACATAGAGCATAAATAAAATTAAGTGTGAGATTATCTTGGCATCAGGACTCAGTTCATCGAAGTTACTGCCATTATCAGTTCGGTAACCCGCGAAAGGTGGGCAAGTCTTGTTGTTCTTCGGTCAGTTTATATTTAAATGATAGGATGGTGATGGTTTAGTGGGAATTCATCACATTTACTATATGAATAAGACGCAATATGAGTAAAAACATCGCAAATTACTTATATTAGAACTCCGAGAACACGAAGAGTAAGAAAAGAAGGTGAAGTGACACAGAACGGAGTGTAATCAAGCATGTTATGGGGACAGGATAATATTGTTGTTGCAGGATGTCACACAAGTGGGGAGTTGGCTTGAAATTGCTGATGACAAGACCTTTGTTTAAGCTATGTTATTTATGGATAAGAAAAGCTATGCTATCACCTCCACAGCCTCACACATCACCTTTCCCCTGTTACCTAACCTAACCTCTCATCTTATACCCTCTTCATCCACAGTCCTTCACCCAACAACCAAAACCCATCTCACCCACATTCTCTTTCCACCATCATCTCCTAGGTACACCACACCACCATCACCTCTCTCTCTCTCACACACACACACACAGATCAGAAGAAAGCATCTTCAGAGAGTGTATCAGTTTATCTAATTGATGGTGGCTGTGGCTCTAGACTAGATAAGCCTCCCAGTTAAACGATTAATGGATTTTGGGCCATTTTTCAACGTTAATTTCGTTTCGTTTAATTTTTTTTTCTAATGGTTTATAGCTCTTTTTTCGTTTATATAGCCATAATTTATTTCAGACTGTAACGTTAGAAGCAAGTTTATATATAATTCAAAGTTTGATATCAATACTTTTATTACAAGTTAAAATTTATATAGTTTCCAATTTCAAGTCATCATTCTATCTAATTTTAGATTTTCTGTAATTTATTTGTAGGTACCCAGGTGGTAGGTGGTGGTGTGTGGAAGTGTGGTGGTAGAGTGTGTGGAGGTGTTAGGTGTGGTGGTAGAGTGTTAGGTAGTGGTGATTAATGTGTTGATAATTAGTGTGGTGGGTGGTGGTTAGGTGTGGTGGAGTGTTAGGTGTGGTGGTAGTGTGTTAGATGTGGTGGTAGAGTTGGTGGGTAGTTAGGTGTTAGGTGTGGTGGTAGTGTGTTGTGGTGGTAGTGTGTTAGGGTGTGGTAGTGTGGGCTGGTAGAGTGGGTGTAGTGGTAGAGTGTAGGTGTAGGTGTAGTGTGTTAGATGTGGTGGTAGTGTGTTGGTGTGTGTGTGGTGGTAGTGTGTTAGGTGGTGGGGTGGGGTTGGTGGTGGTAAGTTGGGTGTGGGGTTAGTGGTGGAAGTGTTAGGTGTGGTGGTAGAGTGTTAGGTGGTGGTAGAGTGTTAGGTGTGGTGGTAGAGTGTGTTGGTGTGGTGGTAGAGGTGTGGTGGTGAGTGTTGGGTGTGGTGGTAGTGTGTTAGGTGTGGTGGTGGGGTGTTGGGTGTGGTGGTAGAGTGTTGGGTGTGGTGGTGGGGTGTTGGGTGTGGTGGTGGGGGTATTGGGTGTGGTGGTGTTAGATGTGGTGGTGAGTGTGTTGGGTGTGGTGGTGGGAAGTGTTGGGTGTGGTGGTAGAGGTGTTGGGTGTGGTGGTGGTGTGTTGGGTGTGGTGGTGGGGGTGTTAGGTGTGGTGGTAGTGTGTTAGTGTTGGTGTGGTGGTAGAGTGTTAGGTGTGGTGGTAGAGTGTTAGGTGTGGTGGGTAGTTAGGTGTGGTGGTGGTGTGTTGGGTGTGGTGGTAGAGTGTTAGGTGTGGTAGTGTGTTGGGTGTATGGTGGTGTGTTGGGTGTGGTGGTAGAGTGGGTAGGTGTGGTGTGGTGTTAGATAAGTGTTGGGTGTGTGGTGGGTGTGTGGTGTGGTGGTAGTGTGTTAGTGTTAGGTGTTAGGTGGTAGTGTGTTGGGTGTGGTGGTGTGTGTGAGTGTTAGGTGTGGTGGTAGAGTGTTAGATATGTGGTGGTAGTGTGTTAGGTGTGGTGGTAGTGTGTGGTGGTAGAGTGTGGGTGTGGTGGTAGTGTGGGTGTGGTGTGGTAGGTGTGGGTGTGGTGTAGTCTTGTTAGAGTGTGTGGTAATGTGTGGTGGTAGAGTGTATGTGGTGTAGTGTGTTAGGTGTGGTGGTAGAGTGTTAGGTGTGGTGGTAGTGGTGGGTGTGTGGTGGTGGGGGTGTGGTGGTAGAGTGTTAGGTGTGGTGGTAGGTGTGGTGGTGGTGTGTTGGGTGTGGTGGTGGTGTGTTGGGTGTGGTGGTAGGTGTGTGTGTGAGGTGTGTAGGTGTGGGAGGTGTTAGTGTAGGTGTGGTGTTAGTGTGTGGTGGTGTGAGAGTGTGGGTGTGGTAGGTGTTAGGTGTGGTGGTAGTGTGTAGGTGTGGTGGTGGTGGTAGAGTGTTGGTAGTGTGGTGGTGTGGTGTAGAGTGTTGGGTGTGGTGGTGGTGGTGTGTGGCCAGGTGTGGTGGTGTGGGTGTAGAGTGTTAGGTGTGGTGGAGTGTGTTGGGTGTGGTGGTGGTATGTTGGGTGTGGTGGTGGTGGTGGTGTTGTGTGGGTGTGGTGGTAGTGTGTGGGTGTGGTGTGTGTGGGTGTGGTGGTGGTGTGTGTGGGAGTGGGTGGTGGTAGTGTGTTGGGTGTGGTGTTAGTGTGGTGGTGGTGGTAGTGTGTTGGTGGTAGTGTGTTAGGTGTGGTGGTGGTGGAGTGGGTTGAGGTGTGGTAGTGTAGTGTGTTGGGTGTGGTGGTAGTTAGGTGTTGGGTGTGGTGGTGGTGTGTTGGGTGTGGTGGTGGTGTGTGTTAGGTGTGGTGGTGTGTTGGTGTTAGGTGTGGTGGTAGTGTGTGTGGGTGTGGTGGTAGTGTGTTGGGTGTGGTGTGGTAGAGGTAGGTGTGGTGGTGGTGTGTTGGGTGTGGTGTGGTGTGTTGGGTGTGGTGGTGGTGTGGTGGGTGTGGTTGGTGTGGGCTAGATGTGGTGGTAGTGTGTTAGGTGTGGTGGTAGAGTGTTACTGGAATGTGGTGGTTGGGAGTGTTAGGTGTGGTGGAAGTGTTGGGTGTAGGTGGTGGGTGGTAGGTGTGGTGGTGGGGAGTGTTAGGTGTGGTGGTAGAGTGTGTGGGTGTGTGTGGTGGTAGAGTGTTAGGTGGGGTGGTGGTGGGGGTGTTAGTGTTAGGTGTGGTGGTAGTGTGGGTGTGGTGGTGGTGGTAGTGTGTGGTGTGGTGTGTAGAGTGTTAGTTTATGTGGTGATGTGGTGGTAGTGTGTTAAGTTGTGGTGGTAGAGTGTTAGTGGTTGTAGGTGTGTTAGGTGTGGTGGTAGTGTGTTAGGTGTGGTGGTAGTGTGTTAGATGTGGTGGTAGTGTTAGTGTGGTGTGTGTGTAGTGTTGGTGGTGGTAGTGTGTTAGTAGTTGTGGTGGTGGTGTGTAAATGGTGTGGTGTGTTGTGTATAGAATTGTGTGGTGTGTAGGTAGATAGGTGTGGTGGTAGTGGTGGTGTGTAGGGGTGGTGTGTGGTAGTGTTGGGGTGGTGGTAGTGTTAGGTCCAGTGTGTGGTAGTGTGTGTGGTGTAGGGGTGTTGGGTGTGGTGTTGGTGTGTTAGGGGTGGTGTGTAGTGTGTGTGGGTGTGGTGGTAGAGTGTTAGGTGTGGTGGTAGTGTGTGTAGGTGTTAGGTGTGGTGGTACAGTGTGTTAGGTGTGGTGGTGGTATGTGTTAAATTGGCTGATACCCCCCATCAAATTGGAAACTAGGCCAGGGTCGTTTTAAATACTTCAATCTAATCTGCCTTGATTATGTGATATATTACATTATTATATAAGGATAATTTATATAATTATGCTATATAGTGATTTGTTTAAAAATTATGTCATGTTATATTGAATAATTACGTTGAGTTTAGGTGCTTCAACAGCTATAGGTCTATCTTTCATAAGTTTTAAGTGGTAATTGACTATTGTAATTATTCTCACCTTGTTACACACTTAAAACGTTAGTTGTTGAAGCGTTGTAATAATGTATCGTCAACAATCTCTCGGTACGTGTGAGGGAGGGGGAGAAGCCTTATGTGGGGTAAAAACTATAATGGTAGATGATCGTTGGCTGCAGTTTTTTGGTGAAGTGACTCGAAATAAAGTTCAAATAAATATCGATTAGTGAAGTTGAATTAGGAAAAAAATATCGGAAATAAAAGTTATTTGTATACTTCAAAACTAATATATTTAGAATAATGTAATAATATAAACTACATATTATTATAATTTAATTAATAATGAAATATATATTTAGTAATAAATTAAATAAATAATTGGAGAAATACAGTAAACAGAGAAACGAGTGTTTTGGATAGGGTGCACAGCAGAGGTATCTACCACCCTATATCTCAGCCCCAGTATTTTACAGTGTTCCCAACTACATACTGTACAATATAGTATTGCTCAAAGCACAGTTAAAGAACATAAATAATTCTATAAAACTCATCATACAAGGTGCAATAGGTCAACGTGACGTGTACACTGAGTAGCGTCAAAACACTGGCAAACAGATATATCTCAAGCAAGCCGCAATAACCTATTTCCTCTAAGTAGTAGTTAGGTATTCTGCTGG